AGAAGTTGGGATCTGCTCACCAAAGGGTCTGGGGCCAGGGACCACCGTTGGTTGTCGTGTTGGTTACTTCCCCAGTCCTCATGACTGACTGCCTGCTTGAACTCCCATGCTCCTGGACACCAGGTGGCAAGTAAACTCTGCAGCTGGATTGTGTGTAGGGCCATTGCCTCCAGTGGCAGTGGTCTCCTACAAGGCCTCAAATCCGTTAGGGTGTGGCAGCACAGGATATTTTTTTTTTTTTCTGTTGCCTATCTTTAGAAACTGAGGCAAGGCTGTCCAAAGTAATGTAAATTATATTGGTGACAGAGGAGGTAAAATTGATTTGTCTTTGGCTATTTTTTGTTCTGAAGATTTTTTTGGAGGAGAATAAAGTTTTGAAAACAAATTTAATCTTGAACAGCAAAATGCTGAATTATTTTAGGAACTTTCTTGCAGTTTTCTACCTCAAATTTATTTTAGACAAGAAAATTAAATTTCTCCTTCAGTGTAGGGAAGGTGTAGATGTTAGATGAGATTCATGTTGATCTCTTCCTCCTGTAGGTGGTTTGTCTGCTGGGCCAAATCTGAAGTTCAGCAGCCCAAGTTCAGCAGCTTGGGGATCAGCACATCTTCACTGTGGTTCAGACTTTTCTATTGATGAACTAACTTCTCTGCTTGTTATGGTATGCAAATTGCTATACAGAATTGTGCAAACACTCCCAAAAATGTTTCCTGGTAACTATTTGTGTATGTATATAGCTTCCAGCATACCATGCATTGAGGGATTTATTTTGTTTTCTGCAACGTGGAATTCTTTTCATAGCATTCCCCTTGTGATTCTCAGATGGACTGTCATACACTTTGTTGTAAGCAGTGCAAATCTGATTTTGTTTTGAATATGTCAGTCTTTCTGTCAGTGGCTGGCTCTAGCAGATGGGGGGGACAGATTGTAAACAAAGTGTGAGAGAGCATGCTTTATGTAGAATATGTCAAAGAGTTACACTTGCTTTGTTCCACACAAGTCAAACTGAAGTGAGTTTGCAACTAGAGTGCTGTCTTGGACCCTTTGACTAGCAAATCTCAAGCCAGAATAAAAGGTAAAGATGAGCATTACTGGAATTACTTCTGTTGCAGCTCTGAGGTGATTACTGTCAGGCATGGACAAAAGGTCTCAGTCTCTGTGTTTACTTTACAATGAATCCTGGGTTTAATAGTAAAATGTATGGGGTAAGAAAAAGGCTTATGTCTTCCAAGCCTTTTATTTTTCTGAAGGCTGTTGTGATTGTTTGTAGAGATGAATAGAATGTTTTTGTCAGGCAGTACTCTCAAAACAAAAGAATTACCCTTCATCTGGACAGTCTTCCTATTTTCAGGCTTACTCAAAGCCACTTGGGATAAGAGAGGGGAAGAATGAGGCAAGACTGTTGAGGGGGTATTTATGAATCAGTCCTAATTTCATAGTATCATGATGAAGTTTTCCATAAACAATTTTGAAAAATTTATATATTAACTATTTTTAAATTATCCTGTTGGACATACTTGCTTTTCTTATTTGTGACAAGAAAGTAAGTTGCATATCTAAAGGAAAATGGTTGTGCTATGTGGTGTTCTTCACTTGAACAAAGAATTCTGAAATGAAAGTGTAGATAGCAAAAGTAGCAACAGTGCCAGGGAATTTGAACAAATGACTAGGAGGTGGAAGAAATCATTAATCCAGGAAGTCAGTGGCTGATAAGAGGCTGATGAGAGGCTGAGTAAAAGTTCAATTGCTTCAATTCAATACAAATGAAGTCTTTATGTTATTGGTTGACATCGTGGGAAATTTACTTACTTGGCATCTCGATGAGTTAACAGATAAGAAATAAGTGTACGCAGTGTATTTTCAAAAAGGGTTACTCTTAGGCAGAGAGCACAGAATGACTTTCTGAACAATCATGTAAACATAGACTGTGAGTAGGCTTTCCAAACAGTTTGATGTGAAGACCCTGAGCCTTGTACTTGGTGGCATGCAGGATACTCTGATCATTAAACCCAGTTTAAGGGTATGTTTTGTCTATGAAGTGTTTTATAAAATTAATTATAAGGAAGTTAATTGGTTATTTGGAGACAGTTTTCCTCTTGAGCTTTACTACTTAGAGGCAAATCTGTTTATAATGACTGTAATGCATCATATATTTGTGGTTTATCATTCTCTTGATATTTATTTGTGCTGATGTCTTGCCATTTTATTGTGCTGGACTTTGTGAATAGAAAGAAAAAGTCAAGTCTCTGCAATATATTAATTTCCTAGTTCATGGTGCACTGTGGAAGAAACCTGTCTAGTGGTTAAAGCTGGGTCCACTTTGTGTTGAGGGATGAAGTACTGGAATGGTCTGCCTGGGGAGGTGCTGGAGTCACCATCCCTGGATGTGCTTAAAAAAAGACTGAATATGGCACTTGGTGCTATGGTTTAGTTGAGGTATTAGGGCATGTGTTGGACTCAATGATCTTGAAGGTCTCTTCCAACCTAGTGATTCTGTGGAAACACAAAGCTAAATTAAACATTCTGTATTGGTTAATGCAATGTTTTCAAACAAGGATGTGACTCAAAAACCTGACCTTGGACTGTCAATAGAAGAGTGGGTGCTCGGTAGCTTCATTCCTGCTGGCTGATTGTTGTTTGTGTGAGTCATTAGGGTGCTTTTTATTGTCAGATCTGAGTTCTCATCGAGTTCAGTTTAGGTGGTACCTAGTTTATTTTTCTTGCTTGTGGAATGCAGCTTCTTTAAGGATGCCTTCTTAGTTGAAGTGTTTGGGACAATGTGACTTCAACTTACTACTTTGGAAGAATTCTGAATATTTGAGTTTTTTAGATCAGAAAACAGAATGTGTTCTTGAAATGTTACATTAACAGCTACAGCAAGTCTGCCAGGCTGTAGTACTATAAGAGGAAAAAATATTGCTGCCGCTTGCTTGGGTTGTCTGCTGCCTCTCTGATACCTGCCTTAAAGATTTAAAGAGCAGACTTCCTACCCTGGGACAAGTCTCAGATTTTTCAGGTAGAAAGCAGTGAAGTTGCAACAAGAGCTCTAAAGGTAATCAAGAGACTTCAGGGACTTGGGATGACTGGTTAAGAGATCAGAAGCTGAAGTGGTTGTCACGTTTCCAGTTGCAAGGCATGATGAAGGAAGAAACAGGAAGAGCTGGCAGATCCATACTTGGCTCTGAGCCTGGTGTCAGTGACAGAATTTATTTTTTTTTAATCAGTGCTAGGTTTATATGACACCAGGCCTCAAAATCTGAAAAGGGATAAAACCAGGGGGCAGCATGCCAACGTTTGAAGGATGGTGTGTTAGTGAGGTCCTTCAATCTGATATCTCAGTGGAGGTAGGTGATGGAGACCCATGTGGCAGCAAAGAAAGAAGGGTCACTGTTGGAGACCACAGAATTGCCTGGTCACATAGGAATTAGGGCTTCTAGCCAAAAAAAAGGTGGTGGGATCAACAGCTCAACCAAGTGCATTTGTATGAATGCATGCAGCAAGGCAGCAAGCAGGCAGCCAGTCACAAGCCTTCTTCCCAAGGGCTCAGTGCTGTAGCCAGTTCTGTTCAGCAATGACTGAGACAAGGGGATCAAGTGCACACTCAGTGACTTGGCACAGCATGCCGAATTGGCTGAGGGTGCTGATCTGCTGGACTATGGGTAGGCTCTGCAGAGGGGTCCAAAGAGGCAGGACCAAAGAGCTGAGAGGCCTGTGGTATGAGGTTCAGCAAGACCAAGTGCTGGGTCCTGCACTTTAACCACAACCACCCCAGGCAGTGCTGCAGGTTGGGGGAAGAGTGGCTGGAAAGTGGCCCCATGGGAAAGGACCTGGGGTTGCTGTTTGACAGCTGTCTGAATGTGAGCCTGCATGTGCCCAGGTGGCCAAGAAGGCCAATGACATCCTGGCCTGTATCAGCAATAGTGTGGCCAGCAGGACCAGGGCAGTGATGGTTCTGCTATAATTGGCACCTCAAATCCTGTGTCCACTTCTGGGCTTCTTACAACAGGAAAGACATTGAGAGGCTGGAGCATGTTCAGAGAAGGGCAATGGAGCTGGGGAAGGGCCTGGAGCACAAGCCTGATGAGAGGCTGAGGGAGGTGAGGGTGTTTTGCCTGGAGAAAACGAGGCTCAAGGAGACCTCACTGCTCTCTACAACCACCTGAAAGGAGTTCAAGGCGAGAGTCATCCCCTTCTCCCATGTAATAGGCAACAGGACAAGAGGAAATTACTCTGAGTTGCATCAGAGGAGATGTAGGTTGGATATTAGGATATTTAAAAGATCCTTAGATAGGGTGATTAGGGAGATGGTTTAGTGGTGACTATATTAATGGTTGGACTCACCTTAGAAGTCTTTTCTGATCTAAACAATTCTATGACTGTAATTTTACACTAAAATGTTGGGATTAACTTGTAGCCTAAAACTGGGTTTTAGTGAATCTCATCTTATGGTGTGCATTTAAATGTGTGTGTGTCTCACCATTACTGCTTTCAGGTTCATCCTGTGTGCCAATCTTAAGTGGCCATATCTTTTATAGCAGATGGTGTTTGAAAGAATGCAAAAGTATTCTCTTGTGTTTTCAACTACTGAATGTTCCTTGAGGCCAGTATTGAAATTTCTTTCAGTTCAAATGAAAGCTTATGTATTTATAGAACACCAAAATAATAGATAAAATAAATTCCCTTTAAATAATCTTATCAGCAAATTCCACTGCTTTGTTTTCTTGGTGGTCTTGTTAAGTAAGCGTTAAATAAATTTAATGTTGGGGTCAGTACTTTCAGTGCTTTCAGTCTGACACAATTTTGCTGCAGATAATTCAGCTGAAAATTACTTAATTTTCTTAGCTGTGATTTGATTTGATGTGGACTAGCGCATCTTGTAATGCATTACATTTAAGTAGTTTACAGTTGTATAAATGATAGCTTATTGAAATGTACATTGTTTTTCATTGTATTTTTAATGTCTTAAGGTAGCAAATGTATTCCTTAACTTTCTTGTCAGTCATGTTTATAACTACTGTACCAGTGTACACCAGTCTAATCAAGCACGGGGAGCTGGAGTACCTCCTTCTAAATCAAAAAAGGGCCAGACACCTGGAGGTGCTCAGTTTGTTGGCTTGGAATTGTACAAACGGCTAAAAGAATTTCTGAAGAACTACTTGACTAATCTCCTTAAGGTAAGATGGGGTATGAGATTGATCTGCACTTGGAGTAACATAAACTGGGCTAAGAAAAGCTGTATCAACAAGCTTAGAGGTGTAGGCAACCACTGGAAGTAAATTGAGTGATCTTAAAAGGTACTTTTGTCTCTGTAGCCATTAGAATCTTTTGTTGGCTTTACCTCAGACATAGATCAGTTCTTAAGCTTGTACGTGTGAACTGCTTTTCATCTTCAAGCCAAAACAACATTCCTGTGTTTTATGGAAGTAATGTTTCATGAAATCTTAAGCTGTCCTGTACTTGAGCAGGAATAGCTAGACTTTCCAAACAATTAACCAGCAAATTAGGAATACTGAAAAAATGGATGCCAGTCATGTTGAAAATGCCTGGGGTAGCCTTTATTTCAGTGTTATAAATAAACTACTAATAGAGCTGGATGTTGTCTTGCATCCAGAGGGACAGGGATGTCTTCTGGAGCTTTATCTGTGCTGTGCATTTTTTTCCAGCCTTTTAATTTCAAAATCTAATACTGGATTTGTGCCTTATTAATGCAGAACTAAATGTATTAGCGGTATGTTTCATGTAAATACATTGCATGGTGTAGATTTATTACACAGTCAGTTTGTATACCCTGATATATCTTGGCTGTACCTTAGAATTGTGCAACAGTACTGGCAAACTTGTCATTTCAGGATGGTGAAGATTTGATGGATGAGAGTGTGCTGAAATTCTACACTCAACAGTGGGAAGATTATAGGTTTTCAAGCAAAGTATTGAATGGGATATGTGCCTACCTCAATCGACATTGGGTTCGTCGTGAGTGCGATGAAGGTCGTAAAGGAATATATGAAATTTATTCAGTAAGTAGCTTTTTGAAGTTTGTGATTTGTCCATTCCATCTACCATGTTTGCATTATCATTCTGTAGATCACTCCTCGAATCTTGTAGGAGGTTCATAGACATTTTGAAGAAGTGGGCAAAGTGGCATTCTCCCTCCTTTCCCTACTCCTACTTCAGTATATTTGTAAAAATACCACAGGTCTAAGTCTGTGAGATGTTTAATCTGCCTTGTATGTATTGGGACTTCAGCAGTAGACTGTTGAGGGTTGTCTGAATATTTGCTGCTTAGTGGTAACTGTGTACCTCAGTATGGCCTTGTCATCCCACTTACAATTCAGCTAAGCATTTCAAACACCAAATGAAGCAGTAAATAGTATTCTTTTTCTGATGACTTCAATATATTTCTACAAATTTTTTAGCATCCAAGCTGCTAAAATTCAGACAACATTTGGTTTTTAGTGTAAGTTATTTTGGTACAGTTCTGAAAGACTGATATGTGATCTTGATAATTTTTTGTAATGTGAAGTAATATAAGAACTTAACAGAACTTCACTATCTCAGATAACTAAAAGAGTTTTTTTAAAAGAAAGGATAATTACTGTCCTTACTAGTGAAGCACTAGGAAAGTGCTGTGCTATTTTCCTGTTTCACTAAAATAATTTTGCATATGGTAGAAAAACAGTTGGTATGCTTAGTTCCCTTCCTCTTAACTTTAGTAGCCTAATGCTAAGAGACTTTGTCAGTTTTGAAACTGCCAACAAAAAAAGCTGTGCGTTTTCAAAGTCATTCAAAGTGGGTTTTGTTGGTTTCCAGAGCCGGCAGTGGATCCCCTGGTAGAAAAAGGAACAACCTAGTGGTAGTGGTAAACACAGCTGTAATTTTGATGTGAAACATTCTCATTGCTTGAGAAATGTGTGTGCCAAAAGACAGTTTTAGAAGTTCTGATTAGTTTGCATACTATATCAGCTTTCCTTAAAGGGAATTACCCTACATGTATATGTAAATATTTTCTTTATTCTATCTTTCATCTCCCTTCTTTTACTTCTAGCTTGCCTTGGTGACCTGGAGAGACTGCTTATTCAGGCCATTAAATAAGCAGGTATATATGTATTACTATATTACAACTCTAGTGTTACTTTATAGGGTTAATTTCATATATTATTAGTAACTGCTTCAAGGAGTCTGGTGGCAATGGAGGCATGCACAGACCTGGAAAATAAAATTGAGCCTTCTGCTTCTCCTTTGTGATTCTAAAAAAGCAGATAAATATTTGAAGAAATAGACCTCTGTGTGTGTGATTGAACCTTGATACCAAGACTTCTGTTAATCTCTCTCCTGAGAGGACCCTTGGCTTTTTTTTAAAAGCTAAGGAGACTTGAAGTAGTAATTCCAGTGGTTACTAAGCTAGGCAGGAGTTCAGGCTGATGACAGTCATGTCTTAAGGTTTGGGAGTCAATATTGGATGAGAACGGATAGGGACAGGCTGGGATTTTGGTCTCCTAATGTTACTGTGAGTTGTTACATTTACACTGATGCCTGGAAGACTCAGGTCAGCCAAATTTAGTGAACCAGCACAATATAAAACAAGGCATCACAATTTTTAGGTACATGTGTATGTTGATTTCACTTCTTACCAGTACTTCATGATGAAGTAGTTGCAGCAGATTACCTGTGTGAAGAGCAAGTGGTTAGCTCAGGTCTTACTACAGTGTTTTGTATTTCAGGTATTAAAAAAAAAAAAAAAGATACATTGGGCTTTGAAGGTTTTTTTTTGAAATTAAAGAAAAAAAAATACTAAGCACTTTAATACATAAGTACACCTTACCACTAATTAGATTGTAATTATGTCGTATAACTTAAAGAGTATCATTCTCTGTAGGAACTTAATATATTCAGATCTCCTTAAATGTTGTTCTCAAGGTGCCTAACTTTTCTTGAATATGGAAATACACTCCTAATTAAGTATGGTGCTTGATCTACCAGCTGCTTTCTCTGTGCTTGACTTAACTTTTAATCCCTGTTTTCTAAGGTAACAAATGCAGTGTTGAAATTGATTGAAAAGGAAAGAAATGGTGAAACTATCAATACAAGGCTGATCAGTGGAGTTGTACAATCCTATGGTAAATGTGATTTCTTTAAGATTCTGTTACTTTCTTAAAAATAAATAAATTTATGTACCCTAACCGAACCCAGAAGTACCATCCCACCTCCTCATATGTCCAGTAAATATTTTTTTTTCAGTAATGTAAATGCAGTTCTGTATTGTTTAACTTCACATTTTATTGATACTTTATACAATAACAGATGATTGTACCATATTTGTGAAACTTGAGAGTGCAACTGATAGACAAGAGCGTTCATCATTTACAAATCAGTTATTAAGGAACTAAATCTGCAAGTGGGGAAGTGGCTTGCATAACAGAGTGGGGTTGCTTTTTCCCTTTTGCATAATATTGAGAGCATTGCCATCCAAATTACTGATTAGTTTCATTAATAAAAGTGAAAACATATAATCTGGAACTCTTAAGAGGGAAAAATGGAAGGAGAATTTGAACTAGCATTTGAGATAGCAAAGTTTTCCAAATCCTGTAATCCTATGTTTAAGAAATGTATCTTAAAGTGTAGTTGACATTAGTCATGTCTTGTACTGATATTTTTTAAATGCAAAATCAATGTTCTTTTTTAAAACGATGCTGATGCAATCCCAATTGATTGCTCTCATCTAAGTTAGAAGGAATGTCCTTGTTTATTTGCAGGAGACCACTTCCTAAAAACCATTTTTTTTAATTTCTTGGTCTTTTTTGTTTGGTTGTGGTTTTTTTCCTTTAGTGGAGCTGGGGCTGAATGAAGATGATGCATTTGCAAAAGGACCTACACTAACTGTCTATAAAGAATCCTTTGAATCTCAGTTTCTTGCTGACACAGAGAGATTTTATACACGAGAAAGTACTGAATTCTTGCAACAGAACCCAGTCACAGAGTACATGAAGAAGGTAAGTTACTTAATCTGCTTTGTTATTTTTGTTTTTCTGGATATAGATTTTTTTTTGAGATAAAGGAATATAAATTCTAGGCTTTTATTATCAATTTCTTAAAATTCTGGTTATTTTACAGAAACAGCTGGTTTTCCCTGTAGTGATTTGCTTCTGTGTTTATCTGATCTGAAGTTTGTCTCCTTACCACATTTCAGTTAGTACAATGAAAGTAGGGAATTTTCTGAACAGTAAAAACAGAAGATTTTTATTAAAATAAATTCAGATTTTTTTAGACTTCAAGACACCAAAACAATAATTCTGCTTTAATACCACAAGTTTACAATTTCTGTACAAGGAACAGTGTGTTGACACATTTATTGAAGTAACTTCCTGAGCAAGCTGGCTTAAGAAATACATCATTAATTAGCTTTCATTCTCTCAGAATATTTTAGTGTCACGAGCCCCTAAAAAGTACTTCTCATCAACAGAGGCCAGATTTAAATTCTTAAATAGTCTATGGTTTTGGAGATCTCAGACAGGGCAACTGAGGGCAAGCAGGATAAACATTGGCTATTTCTAGACTGGTTATTAGGTCAGTCTTACTGACCCGGTAGTAGATAGGTCATCTTCCACCTTGGACAAGTGCTGCTTCATATATTTTTTTCTTGGCACATTTCTTCACTTTCTGAATTGCTGATTGTTTATTCCCTTTCAGCTTAGTTAAAAAAGAAGAGAACTTTTAAAGTATGTAATGTGCAGATACACATCCCTCCCTGCAGTATTCTTTGTGTAATGCTTTTTACCACAGAACGTATCCTTTCTTAACTCTTGGCATTAAAGTCAATGAATTACTGCAAAAGAAAAGAAAAATATTGGAGGGGAGGTCCAATAACACAGTAAAAGGAATTGTGTCTTTAGTAGTTTCCCAATAATTACCAGATCAACCTATGTTTACTTTTCTCTTGTTGAATTAATTTTTTTTTTCTTCTCTTTCAAGTTCTTGTTTTAACTTTCATCCTAATGTATATATAAAAAGAAAGTAAGGGAATTTCAGTCATTTAGAACCTGAGCAACTGGCTCATCCAGACTTCCTTGATACAGGACAGTAAGAAGCTGTCTGAAGGTCATTGCTATTTCAAGATCTAGAGATTACAGACAAGTAGAAATAACTGATTAGTTCCCTAAACAATCCTCAAGGCTTCAGAAATCCACAAAACAACAACTTGCTTTGCTTGAAGCTGGTGCTGAAGATGAAAGCACATACGAAGTTAGCAGACAGCAGGGGAAATGTTCAGCAGAAAAGTGTGTAGCCTTATGTATCTGCTCAAATTAATATATTATAGATGTATAGAAGCCATTTGGGCACTCTTGGCATCTCCTTACACACTAGTGGCTGTAAGATCTTACAAGAAATCTGATGGAAGCATGAACTGTGAACGGAGTAATCTTAAAGTAAGAAAGGTAGTACACCTACTCGACATTCTCACTGGAGCACTGTACTTTGAGTTCTGTCTGGCGATAAATAGCATTGCAAAATGAAAAGAAACCCTAGGACACACCAGCATAGCATGGCTGTGTTACAGTAGAACTGTGGTAGTGTCTTGTAGAGTAGTCAATGAAATCTTAACTAGAACTAGGATTTGTGTATGTAGTTACATAGGCAGACTTACTGAGTTTAGAAAGATTGTGAATTTTTCTTCTCAGGCCAGAACTCATGAGTAAAGCTGACATAGGCTGATGTGCTGTAGGGAAAAAGGTCAGTATTTCTTAAGATTGTTCCTTGAAATACAGTCTTCCACTGAACTTTTCATCTTTACAGTTGAAACAAGTGAAGCTACTGTTGTTTGGATTAATCATTTTTCCCCTGTTTCTGAAATGTGACTTTAAAAGGAAAATGGATTTATAAGAACACCAAATAAAACAGATTATAAGGAAACATGAAGTTAGAGTAAATACTTCTTTTCATAGAAGAGCTCACAATGAGAGCTGACTGTTAACATTAAAAGCAAAGGTCTAAGGATATTTTAAGAAGCAGCATCAGAAGCAGCAGAATTTCCTAACTACAGAAATACAGAATTTATTAAATGCAGGCTAAGTAGTTCCAATGTTCATAAGAAAGATTTGCTGCTATTTGCCGTCAGTAAGGAAGTTGATTGTTATTCCCTACTGGTAAGAAACTGGCAAGTACTCTGGAGCTGGAGTTTATATGCCTTCTCAAGTTTCTGATTGCATTTCCTGTATTTTGATCAGTGCTGGTTTGGATCTAGGAGACAGTAATCTGGGATCATTTTACAAGACATAAGTGCAAAATCATTGCAGAATGAGTGAAGCTAACAGTGTCTTAGATGATTTAAAGCTATGTGTGGTACAGTGCACTTGCAGTGTAAGTGTTCCTTTTTTATTGTCCAGAATATGATCTTTCATGCTTTCTTGTTACTCTGGCCTACTAGGACAATGAATTAACCTAATTCCATTTACTTGATTATGTTGTTCATTTAAATAATTTGAGTTGATAAGAGGACATACACCCTTTATCCCTAATAATGTGCTGCAGTTACAAATGGTTTGTAATGCAAATCTCAACACTTTTGCAAACAAAATGGAGGTAATTGTTATGTAAACAATTTCAGTTTTATATTTCAGTGTAAGTTCTATTCCTTGAATGACATTTAGAATTTTAGTTTGCCAAGAAGATACACATATGTAGTATTTCATATGCCAACCTAAATGCTAGTATAGTCTAAATGACTGTAATTTATTGGGAAGCTTTTCTGTGTAAGAATGTAGATGAGAATACTCAAATAAATTTGTCATGGGCCTAGTGTTAAATTGTAGTTTTCTGCCTTTTAGTTTTGTGGAGCCATGAAATACATTCATTTTTGTCTTAAACAGAACTACCTCTGTAGCTGGAGAACTTGCTGATGGTAAAACTGCCAGCATCTCATGTCAGCGGCTTTTTCTTTTTCTGACAGCAGATTTCCATCTGTAAACTCCTTATTCACAAGCAACTGGAAAACAGTTTTGCTGTGATTCTGCCCTGCCACTTAAACAGCACACTGTATTTTCATCATAATCATCAGTTCCAAATGTATGATTTCTGGAAAAATAACTGCTAAAGTAGTTGGTCCGTAACACCAAACTAGAGAGAAGTTTACTTGTTGTTGTTGTTGTTTTCTAGAAGAATTTAGTGAACAGGCACCTGTTTTCTGCTGTTGGATTCGTGTTCTGCCTTCCCTGCAGGTTTTCATGTTTTTCTCTGTGTTTCTGTAGGCTGAAGCTCGCCTTCTTGAGGAGCAGCGTAGAGTTCAGGTATATCTCCATGAGAGCACACAAGATGAGTTAGCACGAAAGTGTGAGCAAGTACTTATCGAAAAACACCTGGAGATATTTCATACAGAGTTTCAGAATTTGTTGGATGCTGACAAAAATGAAGGTAAGGAATCTCAAACATTGGCTTTAGGCTTAGAGCTCTCCTCTGTGATGATTTGTGAATGATGTAAAATCTGTTGCTAGCTAAATGTCATTTGTTCAGGAATTAGATTAAGAGAGAAGATGATCACTAAACTGACAAGAAGATTTTGATGAAATCGGGATGACTGATGATACTGCTTCAAAGACCCTACCCCAGTCCCAGATATTAAGGCAGAGCAGCACTAATTTGATTTCTTTTAACATGGCTGGAAGAGTTTCAAGAGCACTTGATCCATTTTTCCAGCTGGAGCTGAAGCTTGTGTGAGAGAGATGGGAGGTGAAAAATAGACCAGTACTCTTTCCAGCTGTTTCAGTTTAATCCATGGATCTTCCTGAGTCAGCACTGAGAATTTTAAAAAGTGTTCAGAAGTAGGTATAGGAAATGTTAAAAGAGGAATAGATGCAAATAAGTAGCTTTTAAAATAGAATATATAAAATACATAATATTGCATATAGAGTGTGGCAGCAAGTCTCTGGCTACAAAGAGCAGCACACAACTTTCCCAGGCATCGCATGAGAAAGGCTATGAGAAGATCAGAGAAAAGAACAATATTCTTATCTTTACTTGCTGCACCTGTTATGAGCATGTGGAATGAGTTATGGAGATTTTTTTACCAATGGGTGGTTTCTTAAGTAGTCAGGGGTGATGGTGTTTGGACTGAAGGACCAGTTAGGTCCACCTGTATTGTGACTGTCTGTAAGGGTTTCTTAAGTATAGGATAATAAAATGATTGATCAGCCTTCTGAAAATCATGGAGTCAGTGCTAATTATTACCTGGCTGAGGGCCTGCAAGAAAATACAGAGCACAAGGAAAAGGTGGAAGTTATTAATTGATGTGTTAATTTTGGCTGTGAAAATGATTAAGTGTTGCTAATGGGTCAAATTTATATTGTCGTAGAGAATACCTAGAATAAAGATTTCTTCAACACTTCCTCTGAAATAAGTGAAGATTATTAGACTTTAGGTATCTTTAAGGAATTGTCAATTATGTGGGTTTGTATGAGTTTATTCAGGGGTTAATAGCACAAAATAACAGCCAGAGCTAATTCCTGTGTTTCATGCAGATGATGAGGATGAATCATGATTCTGATTTCCCAGTTGGGGAACTAATTAAATCTGTATTTCATGTCTGAATATTGCTGTACAGCTGAAATACTGCTCTTATGAAAGGGGCAGAATGTAAAAGATGCTGTGGTTACGTTACTAATGATAAAATTGTTTGTTTGAGTTTTAAATTGTGACTATGTCTCATTGTATATCTGTCTTAAAATAGCAACTACAAATTATTATTATCTATAACAGTCATGTTGATAATGAAGAGATGCTTTGAAATCAAAAAGGGCAATTCAGTATGATTAGTAGGTCAGAAGTTAGCTGATTTAAATGTAAATAATTTGTACTAGTATTTGAGTCTGATGTTGTTTGTGTTTGTAAATATTTATTCCATAATTGGAAGAGATTTTCATGGCTGTTGGTTTGTGAAATGACTTCATAAATGAGTCTGACAATTGAAATAGCAATAGAACAAACAAAGTTTTTTCTGGACTTGGGCCACTTTCACAGACTTTTATTTTTTCCTCCTACTTTATCAAGCTCATGGGTTATGTGAGCCCATAGTACAATCACTTCCTGCAGTGATGCAATTCCATAAGTTTGTCAGGGTATATAAAAGAAAAGAAGTATCTTGTGTCTTGGGCACTGTCTAGTTATGTATCTTTGGGTTTACTTTTGTGTGGATTATTTCTAAGATCAACTAGACTTTTTTTAAAATGCTTGATTTTTTTTTTCTTCTTTTTCAAAATATTTTCTTTTCTATTATCAGGCTTCAGTTATGGAAATAGTAGCAATTCCCTTGCCCTTTATAAGATTGATGAAGTTTCAAGATTAGAAAATATATTTTCAGTAATAGTCTGATAATTCACTCTTTAATCACAGTAATCAGTTAATTCTCCAATTTATGATATACTAACATAGCCTTTGGTAGACTGTCCTAAACTTACAAAAAAAGGTTGCTCTTGATTAAAATATTTGTTGCTTCGCTCTTGAAATTACACTGGTTTTGAGGTCCTTTTATGCAAACTGTGTTGGAAAATATCAAACCCAGTTTGCACAAACACAGTGGCCAAAAGGCCACTCCTTTTGGTGTTCTGTAACTTAATCTGTTGTGCAACTAATGCATAAACTGGTTATAAAGGTTGTGGGACACATTCCTTATGGGTTACATACTCACATCAGTATAATACCTGTAGGAAATAATTTGGTTTATTGGGAGAAGGCTGTAATGATGTAGGTGGAGTTACCATGCAAATCTTCCATGAGGCTTTGTACCATCTCTTCCTTATTTCACCCAACACAGACATCCTGGTAAACCAACCTGTGAACACTCGTTTGTGGGTAAATATAGTAGCAGCTTGCTGTATCTATGCACGGCATTATTTTCCTTTTTTCTAAAGTTCTGCATGGTATTCATATATTCTTATAGAAGTTAACATCAGGTTGCAATAATGGTTTTTCACAAAGAGAAAAAAAAGTTTCATTTTCAAATCTGCAAGTTTAAGTTTTGACAAAGTTTTAAGGAAAGAAAAGGGCTATACAGAAACCTAACTGAACTGCAACGTCATCCCTTCAGTATTAGAAGGCATCAAACTATGTGTTACATTTCAGAGTCAGGTAGAGCACTAGCTCACTGATTGCTCTGTTTTGTTTAATCTGATAATCCTCTGGTGATAATAAATCGCTCACAAGTCCTTCAGAGAAGTCCTTGCCCCTCAGAAGAGCTAGATGCAGCTGTCAACCTTTACATGTGTTTCACAAGGTGAAAATATCCTCCGTAGTTTACAGTAAATATCTGATTGTTGACTGTTTCACTGGAGTGCCTGTTCAGTGAGGGCAAGATTGCAAGAGGTCACTGGCAGGTTTGTGGACCTGGTTTATGGCCAATTCAATGTTTGCCTTTCTTTTTTGAAGAGTTCTGCTCTCAGAAAATACAAAGTATCTATCCTGTTGAAACTAAATAATAAAAGCCAAAACTCTCTTCAGTATTAGACTTGCCAAAATTGCTAACTGATTTGGAAAGTGTTGGCTGAAAACTGGTGAGATTTTAATATGAAGCATTACCATGCTTGATAGTGAAATGACATGCCATTTTACCTTCATTAGTTCTATCGTAATGCTTTTCAGAACCTCTTTTCTTTCAGATACAATTATCACTACTGGTAATCAATCACTTAAAGTTGTTTTCTTTAAAGAGATGTCTTTTACTGTCAGTGCCTTATTGAAGGAAATTTGATTTATAATGTTTAAATTTACCTGCTAAGGTCATATCAACATATAACACTTTGCCTTAAATTTCCAACCATTACTGCTGATGCTGTCCAAAGTAAAAGTGTTGATATGCAAAGAGCTACAAGTAATGTTAGATGTCTGAGAACTGACCTGTTCAGAGTAAGATTTAAAGGACAGTGGTCAGCTGGAAAATATTATACTCATAGCACAGCCAGCAATAACATTAATAAGAGCCCCAAATTTGTGGCAGCACCTCAAAATGTTACTTAAACAAGAGAGGTTTAACACCATTTTTAAATCATTGCTTGAAACCTGTGAATACTAAAAATCAGAAGTAAATTTTCTACCATTCAAATGGTGGGTTTTTCTTCTTGAGATTTGTTGCATTGTGAAGGTTAAAAATAGATCCTAATATAACAAATTGTTTTCTCTTTAACTAGTGTCAGCTTTCCAGGTGATTGCAAAGGTTTGCCGAACTGGATAATCATTTACTGTCATTTTTTCTGGCTTTTTACAGGAGCAGTTGCATATGTGTTTTTGTTGACAATGGATGTTTAGCTCCTATTGGCAACTTGTAAATGAGAATTTGAAGCAATAACCAGTACAGATGGGAGATGTTAACTTTCCTTTTTTTTCCTCTTTTACAGACTTGGGTCGCATGTATAACCTTGTATCTCGAATCCAGGATGGCCTTGGAGAGCTGAAAAAACTTTTAGAAACCCACATTCATAATCAGGGTCTAGCTGCAATTGAGAAATGTGGAGAAGCTGCACTAAATGCAAGTATCCCATCAGAACAAGTCTGTATGTGCTGCCAATGTTACATTAGAGGATAGTGAATTCTTCCTGATAAAACTTCCAGTTTGTTTGTTTTCCCTCTCACTAATTTAATTTGTAAGGACTTGGCAATTCTCAAATGTTAGTTGAGGGCTTAAAGCACTCTGTTTCTACTGTTTAAATTTTAGGGGTCTTTTTTGCTTTCATTTGGTTTGGGCAGGTTGTGGGGGTTTTGGTTTGGTTTTGAGGAGGAGGGTGAATTTCCATCTGGGATCTTGCTCTCTGTCAGGTGTTAGGCTGCTTGGAAAGCTGGCTGTGCAAACACTAACACGTACAATATAAGTACAACTGAAGTCCACTGTTTCAAGAAGCATTCTCTCCAGTTGACTGTATTTTATTTCATCATCTTAAGGAATTCTGACTTGAATGAGACTATCTAGAGAAAGTTTCTCTTGGTTTGAGTTTTTTTGATAATGTCTTTATTCTGTTTGGAAAAGCATGAGAAATGTAAAGAAGAAGAAGGAGAAGCATGAACTTAAATGGTTGGAAAGGTCACAATATAAGGAGGAGGAGATCAAGTCTTTGGAAAGGCTGCTATTTTCATCCCATAATTGTAATTTCAAACTTAGTTTTGTATTGATTAGGGTTGCATCTTGGCAACATGAAGTTGTTTAAATCCTTTGCCGACTTTCTTCTCTTTAGACAATAGGATGTTTTCCAGGGGAAAAGAAAGAAAGAAACACTACACAAAGTAAGATCAGGATAGAATAGAGATTCTGGTAAATTTTATTTAAAGTGGAATTCAAGAAGCATTTAGACAATGCTCTCAGGCATTGTCATTGATAATTACATCATCAGTGTGATTCTCAGGGTGGTCCTGTGCAGAGTCAGGGGTTGGACTTCAATTATTCTTATGGGTCCCTTCCAACTCAGGATACACTATGATTCTATGATAAACTTTGATTTTTGACAAAGTTTATTTTAACTTGTTGCTTTCCTGAGAAGTTCTTGAAAAAGCTTCATTCTAAAACAGTAATCTGAATTGAAGGATCTGTTGCTCATTTCTATAGTTTTAAGTGCATAGCTTTTTAGCAGTGTTGATTTTTTTTTATGAATCATAAAGTAATCATGAAGCAAGTTCAGGAATCTTCAGTTTCATTTGTAGATGTCTCATAAATGTTGAAATCAGATTTGCTCCATGCTTGGCACATCCCCCTAGTGGTCATCACTCTCGAGGCTTTTTTCTGCTTAGGCCTTGAAGAATTAGGCCAGGAAAAGAAAAAAAAAAAAAAATCTTTCTCCAGGAATTATTTCATATTTCAGAGAGGGGAGGTCCAAGATTTGCATGTATTAGCTGAGTCCAACCATTTACAAAATTCTTCCTGCCTCTGCCACTTTTTCTTGTTTCTACATCTTTCTCTTTTGTTCCTTATTCCACATATTTGTTCTTCATTTTCACAGCAGTATCTCTGGCTGTTACCCTTGGGAACCATCCTGCCTTTTCTTGCAATATCCCACACACCACTGTATTGCTGTTCATCATTGCTTTGTTAGTCCTCTATCCTACTTAGGATTTATTCTTCCCAACTTCATTTACCTGTTCTGTGTCTAAACAGATAATCAGGTGAACAAATGCTTCTCACTTTCTGTGTAGTCAGTACAAAGAAATAGTCATAGCAACCTGACTCATTTCACCTATTTTAGACTTCAATGCAGAAGTAGTTGTGTTCTAGTCTCTGTTAACTGTATTAACAAGACTGCTTTTCAGTCAGAAGATTGGCTGCTTTCTGTGCATTTTGTTTGTTGGTTTTTTTTTAGTCCTTGTAATCGTACTTTTCTGAATGTCCTTCAAATCCACTTGCATTCCTTATCTCAGAAATTCTCAATAATCTCAGTTCTTTGTCTCAAGCATGTCATTAGATTGGTGGTCCATGGTAGTCTGTGTCTGTCTTCAGTGGCAACAGGAAATGTTTTTCAGGATCCTGATAAAACCCTGCCCATATTCCACTACTTTTAGCCAACAAGACCTTCTGATCTCCAAACTGAAGACTTCCAGCCTTTTTTAGTCTGTTGTGCAGTAGCTGTCTTGTGTGCCTGATGATTTACTTGCCCATCACTGTCCCTACTCCTTGACTCTGCTCCATCTTCATTGAGAAGCAAAGATCAGTAACTGCACAAAGAGCTCAGTCTGAGTACAGTGAGCTTGATGTTTACTGACATTTGGCTGCCACTGGGTGCTGAGCACGTAATTTTTAAGAACTACCAATGACTGATGTGTCTGTACTAAGTTGTACCTACTGGATATATACCAGTCACATTCTTACTGCAGAGGTTTTCCTCTATAGCAGCTGCCATTTTATGATTGTCCAGCTCTCTCAGGTGTGCCTTGAAATAAGTTTAAGTCTTTGAAAATGTTTGCAGTGGTGAGTAAATACTTAGTTGTCTTTTGTGTGATGTGGTACACTCTGCACTCTGGTTGCTGCAAATGAAAGCTTGCAGTAATGTTAGTCAATCCTGGACATAGGACCTGAACTAGTACTGGGTACTAGTTTACCTCTAAAATGTTTCTAATACTTCGTAGGCTTTCTCCACACAAATTTTCTTGGGCCAGAGAATAGCTCCATTTTGGAGAAAGTAGAAAGCAGAAAGTTAATAGGTTGCAAAATCCAGTCTCTCCTTATTGCAGGATCCAAAAATGTATGTACAGACAGTGTTGGATGTCCATAAGAAATACAATGCATTAGTCATGTCTGCATTCAACAATGATGCTGGCTTCGTGGCTGCACTAGACAAAGTAAGTGCATGTAGTGGCAGATGCTGGACTTTTTATTTTTTTTCCCATGCAAAATAAAAAAAATTGTCTCCCAAAATTTCACTGTCTTTTGTGATTTGTAGGCTTGTGGTCGATTTATAAATAATAATGCAGTGACAAAAATGGCTCAATCATCCAGTAAATCCCCAGAGCTATTGGCACGATACTGTGACTCTTTACTAAAGAAAAGGTATGTCCTCAAAGACAAGTTATTATATCATGTTGGCTTTTATTTTTAAAGGTTTTAGCCTATGAAGTTTTATACTGTGTTCAGAAACAGAACTTCACTTTGCAAGAAATTAACTTTATCAAATTCTGGATACAAAAATTTCAGTAGGACCATTCCTAAAGGCTGTGTTGTTTGGTATTCTTTTTAAGGAAGATTGGAGGAAATAAGAAAATCTTTCTTGCCTTATAGGAATCTTAAGTGTTTGTTTTTCAGTAAAACTGAAGGAGGGGTTTTAGGTAGGGTTTTTTACACTGAAAAACTTAAATTGGGTTGTATGTTGTAAAAAGATGCACATTCCCTTTTTCCATTAAAACTGTTGCTTTCCTCCTTTTTTTTTTTCTATAGCTTCTACTATCTGGGCAGAAATTGAGGAGGAGAAAAACTGCTTTCTAACTTTTCATAGTTCAATATTAATTCAAGTTATTTGTCTTTAAATGATTCAGCAGCTCATACACTGAGTTGGTATCAGTTCAGTTCATACTGGATTGGTGTCAGATTTGTTCCTGGCAACATTTCTAGTTGCTTTGGTGGAGGGAAAAAAGCCACCACCAAACAACCCAAAAAAGGGACAACTTGCTCACTTTTCTCTTTCCCATCTCCTCCTTCATTCAGCAAAGGGTTTATTTTCTCCTTTACAAATACTGACTGTGTGCAGGGTAGATTTGGTGGGCAAGCATGAAATGGAGGAAGACAATGTGGTGCCACCTGAGATTTCACCTAGTCAAGTCCCAGCTCTGTGAGCTGGTTTCTTCTCACTGTACGATCTAAGATAAGAAATAAAGATAGCTTTTAGCAGCAGGAAGAGAGAGGTCCATGTTTAAGCTCATAAATCCTGAGAAGCACCAGGCTATCAGCAAGTCTCAAGCAAGTCATGGTCCAGAACTTCAGCCTGTGACATTTGGGAACTTCAGAATTGTTGACAGGTGAAGCAGTGAACTGTTCACTACATTGTTTTCTTTCTAAAGAGCTTTTGATCCCAGAACTACTCAAATTTGCATTCTTTTACTTCTGAAGCATCCATATGCATCCATATGTTGGTTTAATTCTGCTGGTTTGGGACTCATTAAAAATGCACTTCTTTAATTGCAGCTCAAAGAACCCCGAAGAAGCAGAATTGGAAGATACACTCAATCAAGTGGTAAGATGTCTATAAATACATATAAAATATAAAAATTATTTTGTTTATTAAAAAACCGCTTACAGCAGATTTAAAGTGGCTATATTGAAGCTATGCTTTTGCTTAATCTGTCTGTGCATATAAAATATATAATTTCCACAATATCTTTTTATATCATTATATATCCATATATATAATACGCTTTACATGTGGAATATACAGTTTTTGTTTTAAAATAGTATCTATATTTAAAGCAAACACACCATTAGTCCCTCCACCCTCCCCCAAAAAAGCCAAACAAAACCCCCAATCTTTAAAATTTAGTCGCAAATTAAGTAGCTCCTGCTACATCTTTCTTAAGACAAATGTTTAAATATTTTTTCCTTACAAATTATCTTGGCTTTTCCAGATGGTTGTCTTCAAATACATTGAGGATAAAGATGTGTTTCAAAAATTCTATGCTAAAATGCTGGCAAAGAGACTTGTGCATCAAAACAGTGCCAGTGATGATGCTGAGGCAAGCATGATCTCCAAACTAAAAGTAAGTATTCCATTACTGTCCCATGATCTACTGCCCTGCAGGTCTTCACACTGTTTTGGAAAGCATTGACATATGTCCTTTCATTTGTTTATTTTATGCACAGAAAAATACACAACCTAGGTCTATTTTTCCCCCCTTTTTTTTTAATCATAGGGACTTCTAGTGCATGTCTGCCTGATGAAGCTAAGCTTAATTATTCTTAATAAAATGAATGACATGGATTTAATTATTCAAGGGAATGAGTACTGAAAAGTAGCTTAATTTTGTTAACCCGTATTTATGCAGAGTTAAGCAAAATACAACTGACTACCCTTTGACTAGTCTGTTTCATTGTGTTTAGCTTAATTTTTAAACAAAATATTCCTCAGTTTTCAGTGGCAGATAAAGCGCATATTCCAGGGGGGATTGGCACTTTGAGTAAGGGAAATACAGAACTTCATACATTTTCTGTTAAGAAAGAAGTTCCAACACTTTGTTCTTCTCATTATCCAATGTCCAAAATGTGTTTTGCTGATGTATCTGTGCTTTCAAATACAGCAAGCTTGTGGTTTTGAGTATACCTCTAAGCTGCAGCGGATGTTCCAAGATATTGGTGTAAGCAAGGATTTGAATGAGCAGTTTAAAAAGCATCTGACCAATTCAGAACCATTAGATTGTAAGTAATACCTTTACCTAAGTTACTTTTGCACAGTATAGTTCCTCTTATTACTGCAGAACTAAGTGTGTGAGGGAAATGTTTGACTTACTCATACTGCCACAAATTAGAGTTAGTGTTTTTCTGACCATGATAGCTGGGATGTTTAAATTAGGTCTTAAATTCTAGGTCTGTTCTTTGTTTTCTAGTAGCTCTTTATATATTTTCTGGGTAGCCTCCTCCTGATTTTAGAGCTCTTGTTTAGGTACGTAACTAAATTAAGCTGAATACTATCTTGTCTCTTTTTTCTTTTTTTGGTTTTTTTTTATGTTTGATTGGAGAGATGTTTTTCTTTAAGCAGTTTTGATTTTTAGCTGTTTAATACAGACTCGTGTGAAAGTATTAAGGATAAAAGTATATTGTTTTCCAGGTTGTTAGATTCCCCATCACCTTTTTATACTTTTCAACTAAAGCATGTTGAACCAAATTCTGTAAAGAATTGATAATTATTTCTTGGATTACAATTAGAGTTGTGTATCATCAGGTTTAAATTTTACTTAGTTTTTTTATTATTCATACATGACTTGACCAAAATGCCTTACAAGTATAGGTGTGAAGGTCTGTTCTTGCAGTTGTGTACTGTGGAGTGATGATGAACACTTAAAATTTTCCCACTTCTGTGTTAAAAGAGAAACTCATTGTAGGGATGGAAACAGAGTAGTAACTTCTCCAAATAAAAGAAGATTGAGTGCCTGTAACGGTAAATCTAAAGCTCTCCAACGGCAGTGACATCTCTCATGAATAACTTCGGTTATGCTCCGACAAAAGTAAAATAGTAGTTAAAGATTTTTTACCATGTCAGTTTGATAAAGAGCCAGAAACATGTCTGTGTTAGAACTGGAGAGGAGTTAGGAGAGTGGAGTTAGGAGAAAGATGGAATAATGCAGCTCATCCTCTTCACCTCTCTTTCAGTGGATTTCAGCATCCAGGTGCTGAGTTCTGGATCGTGGCCGTTCCAGCAGTCCTGCACATTTGCTCTGCCATCTGAGGTGAGGCACTTGCACTTGGTTCATCTGAGCATAGAATGATCTTGAGAGGAATTTTTTTACAAAGCTGGTGTTTCCTTCCATTCTGTTGCGTATCAGAGAGGACTAGAAGTGTCTCTGGTATTTGCCTGTTTGGCCTGAGGATATTTGGAAGAAGATAATTGAGTAAGGTAGTAAGAGGAAACTGTGTGAAACCCATGGTTTTGTATCTTTCCCATGAAAACTCCCTGGTTAATGAATCTTTCTTCAAAATACTCAACAGCAACTAAAGCAAATCTGTGTTAGTGCATTTTTCTGGATATACCTAATTTAAGAAACCTTTTCATACCATTGCTTCAGCTTTGCCCAGTAAAATATTTAGATATTATAATCATTAGTTTTCTGCTGAGTGTTTATCCAGAAAAAAGACATGAATATTTAATGTGAGAAATAAATTTAATGCTGTTACCTGGAGGATGAAGGTGCTTAAAACAAATTGCTTTTCTAACCATGTTTAATGTATTCTAAAAGGAAGAATGAACCTTAAATGCCTATTTACATTTGTACTGTTAATGATACTCTAAAGGGGAAACTCATAACAGAGGGAAATTTTTCATCCAGTCTACTGAATTTGAATACTTTGAGTTTACCTTTGTGTTATTTAGACAACACAGTGGTTGAGGGTGATCAGATTTTCTGATCCTCTGTTGCTTTCATAATATGTTCTAGTAACAGTGAATGAAGATAAATAATATTTATTTATTTATTTATTACTGATGTTTTTATACAGTTAGAACGGAGCTACCAGAGATTTACTGCATTTTATGCCAGTCGTCATAGTGGAAGAAAATTAACATGGTTGTATCAGCTGTCCAAAGGGGAATTGGTTACCAACTGTTTCAAAAACAGATACACATTACAGGTAAGGAAAAGTCATACCAATAGAGACACTTGGTCATGGTTGTTTTCAGAGGACTGGATGCAGCCAGTAGAACCCTTATTGTATGTTTATTTTATTTACTGTACTGATACTAAAGATCTGTGTTTAAAATAAATTTGACTTAAGAAACAGAACACATTGCCTGTAGTTTAAACAGGTGTTGAAATGCATTTTGTGAGATAAATACAACCTCTTTGCCTAGGATTTCATGCTGCTTATACTATACTGTCTGCTTTCTTTCAAAAAGTAGATGGGATGGGGAGTTCACAACAGTAAGAAGAAACAAGATAATGCCAGACTTTGACCTTGTCATCAACATATGTTAACCCTGTGGTGATAGGCTTGGATAAGCCATTGATAGCTGCTTGGTGTATAAATTTGGTTTCATTATTCTGCTGGAGTTGGGAGGGTTGTGAGGATGAATTCAGCAGTCTGTACTGGATGCAGTGATGATTAAATGGGCAAGAGTTGGAGTGACAGAGGAAAACAATTTAAAACTATATTAGCAAATAGAAGGAAAATGTTTTGATGCCATAATAGAAGAGTTGATAAAGTGTCTGAAGCAAGCCAACTTATTCTAATCCTGAGGTTTATGTTTAGATAATTCTGGAAGGGGGAGTTCTGGTTGTAAAAGCAACGTTTTATTATCTTTATTTAGTTTGATTAGCACCACTTGGGTATTCTCTGTTGTCCAAATATTCCAGTGTATGTGTTTAACTGGTGAATTTCAGGCTGTTCAAATTCAGGAAGTGTTTGTAAGTTCTCATTTTCTGATTTCCCCTCTGTCCCCTCTGTTCTCTGTTTTTGGATCTGTCAGGCATCCACATTCCAGATGGCGATTTTACTGCAGTACAACACAGAAGATGCCTACACCGTGCAGCAGCTGACAGACAGTACTCAAATAAAAATGGTAGTGACTTTGCACGTTTTACCACACTCTTGTGAGCAAGTGTTTTGGTCTTCAGGGCTCTTGCTGCTATCTTGAGAAATTTGGATTACACATGCTTGGAGCCAGAACCAGTTTCTGTCCCAAAGGAGACAGATATGCTCTATTCTTGGTCAATTTACTTTCCTGTAATCATAACTGCCTGCTCTTCTGATGAGCCTTAGTGCATGTACATTCCTGTTCATGACTAGAGTGAATTGTCTAGCTTCCTGCTGAGCTCTGGGTAGAAGTTTTCAGTATTTCAATGCATACATTTTAATGTTAAAAGACAACATTCTAGCAAAACCAGCATTTTCCCTAAATGATTGATCTATGCATCTGTCATTCTTTTATATCTTAAGGCTTTTTTACATGAACTCAGTAAATCTGCAATTCATTGGCTAACTCTCTCCTGTGGAAAAGGTTCCCTCCTTTTCTTCCCAAGCAAGCTTTATGACCCACAATTTGATATTTATTTGACCTTTAGCAGTAGATGTGAATCAAATCTGCTCTGACTTCTGGAAAGTAAGGTATTCCTATTCACTAGGATCTTTACTTCTAGAAATGTGTACCTAGAAAGTTATTGTTGCTGATAGATTACAGCAAACCCAGAGGTCTTAGGGAGTTGTCATTTATTACAGACTGTGATAAAATAGCAGCTTTGCAGGCCTGCACAGAATATTGCCAGTAGCCGCCTGAGTGAGCAACCAGCAACAGCAACCAGAATGGATCCCTGTTAAAACAAAAAATCAGAAAGCAGAGAGTGCTTGCTTTCTGAAGTTTGTTTAAGCTTGCCATGGTGTATATATAGTTGCATGGTTTGGGAAAAAATATTTCTTAGGCATATAAATCTAGTTGCAAAATAGTTCCTAAAGCAGCAAGTGGAAAGATCTTTTTTTTTTGGAATTAGTATTTCTCAAGAATTTTATGATATTTGACCAACCACAAGTGGGATATGTCATAACACCAAAAGAGGACATTGTTTTATTTCTGTGAACTAGGTTTTTACTGCTTTTTCTTGCCCCTTCATTTTGCAGTGTTCTGCACTCATTAGTTCTTAGTCTAAATATGTGCATTCTTGTTCAAGTTTTTAAGTTAGACAAAGGTGCTGTCTATCTGCTCCGATAATGTTTTCTATAATTTTGTAGGATATCTTGGCACAAGTTCTACAGATACTGTTGAAATCAAAATTACTTGTAAGTACTCTTGTTTTTTTATGACCTGCTTAACATACAGTGAAATATGTTAGACTATTTATTGTTTGTTTCTTTATTTATTGCAGGTTTTAGAAGACGAAAATGCAAATGTTGATGAAGTGGAGTTAAAACCAGATACTTTAATAAAACTGTATCTTGGTTACAAAAAGTAAGCAGCATGCATTACTTAGGTATAATGGGTAGCATCCTCCTCTGCTTTCAAAATCTGGGTGAAACCTAATATACTTGGGATGCAAGCTTCAGGGTTCAAGTGCCAATTCAAATGTAGATCCAATGTTTGCCAGCATTAAGGGAAAGGGCTGGTGAGTGGTGGGGGTTGAGTGTGATTTCAGCTCTTTGACTCTGACTTTGTCATAAAGGTAAAATAAAGGTAAGGCCTGACATATTTTCATATGCTCTTTTTGTTCCTTAATTGTCCAATTCTTGAATAATTGATTCAAGTGCTGCTGTTTTGCCAAGGTGTTATTTTCATGCACTCAGCAAATCCATGATATTTTATAAGGTTACACTAGTGTCCAGTGAGCAGCAAAGGTCAGAGGCACAAATGTTCATCCACTGCTGCTAACACTAGAAGATCAGGCTTGTTTTATAACCATGGTGTATACAGTGATTTGAAGACTTAATAAACACAATTTTTCAGTAGATTTTATTACTTACTTTAAACAGTTGTGCATTTTAAGCTGTTTACAGCACTGTGGTACTTTTTATCATGCTTGCCAGAGCATAGATATAAACACACATAAATTCAGTGAGGAGTTCAGTACTTCCCGAAGATAAGATCTCATGTGAAAGAAACATTTTAAAACCTTTCCTTATACCTCAACTCACCCTTTATCTCATCTCTGTCCCCCTTTACCAAATTAAAGGTTTGAGAATTCATGGTCTGTTGCATTAATGCAGTGATGGAAACAGCTCAGTGTTGCTGCACTGTGCAGCAGCTTGTTCCCAATTTATGATGGAGAACACTGTGCTAAATAAATAACAGATCTCCTCGGTGCAGCTAACAGGTCTGAGCAGAGCCCTGTGCTCCCTGGTGCTCCGATGCTGAGGTTTGCTTCCCACTTGTGACAGAGGACCTTGTCTTGAGTGGCCACATGTGGCAGTGGGCTCACCTCAGCACAGCTGTCAGTGCCAGGGAGTGTGTGAAAGAAAAGCAGAGCTCAGAACACAGAACAAACAGGTTTCTCCACATTATGTTCAGAATCCAGTCTGTAAATCAGAAAGGTGATTCTGCTTACATTGACTTTTTGTCCCCTTCACTGATTCCAAGCTTCTTACTACACACAATAATATTTTGAATACAGTGTAACTGTACAGTGCTAGTTACACAGATCATTAGGATGGATTCAGCAAGCTGTGAGATACATTGACACCCACCAGAAAGGTATTTTGTTTCCTTGGTTGGTTGTGGGCATTCTTTATTTTTATTTTAATTTTTTTTTAACTTGAATAAGAGCATCTAAGTTTTCAGAAGAGCCAAAGTCCTGTATTGTTGTAATTATGGTGCTGTGGCTTTTATTTTGGAGTTGGGTTTTGTTTGGAGTTTTTTCTGTGTTTCTTAGGTTTTTAAACAGTCTAATTGTTCATTGACTTATGCTTTTCTTTACAGCAAAAAATTAAGGGTAAACATCAATGTGCCAATGAAGACTGAACAGAAGCAGGAGCAAGAAACTACACACAAAAACATAGAGGAAGACAGAAAACTACTGATTCAGGTGAGTTTTATTGCAGAATGCTGTCATGGACTCAGAATCACATCTTTGTAATCATTTAATTACACTTACTTCAGGGTTTTCCTAATTTTTAGTAGAAGACAACATGCTCTAACTACATTAGAGTTCAAAAAATGTATTTTAAATATTGTTAAAGGTGATTTGAATCTATAGTAGAAACTGGAGGAAGGTACTTCTACAGACAGGACGTTTTCATTCACATTGTTCTAACCTGATGTTGTTGAGTGTTTGGGTTCCTTGGATACATGTTCACCAGACCTTGTCCTGGGTGAAAACTGAATAATATAAAAATAGTAATACAGGTAGTATAAAATCAACAATGGTTTTATATTAGTTCATTTGGAATCCACTTGAGAGGCCGTGAAAGGAAATACAGTTGTACAGTAAGACAGTGTCACAGTAAAGTTAAATATATAAAGAAAGCTTTTTGCTACACAAGTAGTTTGGTGTGGCTCTTGTTACCAGTTGGCGCTTTTATTATTATGATTGACTGACTGTAAGCACAGTTTTAAAAATTCATGTGTCAAAACCACTTCTGATGACTGTGTGCTGTGGAGACTCTGAGTTCCTGAAGTCTGTGTGAGTAGCTGACACTCGTGGGCAAGCTTCTCCCCGTCTGCTGCTCGAGTTGGTTGTGGTGGTGATCTAGGGGAGTTAAATGGCTTTACACAGAGGGACAAGTACTTTGCTCCTAAACACACCTTCCCAACTTTGCTGTGCAGGCTGCTATTGTGAGAATCATGAAAATGAGGAAAGTTTTAAAACACCAGCAACTGCTTGGAGAAGTGCTAACACAGCTGTCCTCAAGGTTCAAGCCACGAGTTCCTGTAATTAAGGTATGTGAGACCTGCATCTCTGAACCTGGATTCCAGGAGGTGAGGATATATACGCAGACAAAACACATGCTTCTGAATTAAAAAGGAAAGCTAAGGAGATGGTGAATTAAAAAGGAAAGCTAAGGAGGTGGGACAGATTTCTTTTTTAGTTGCAAGTAAGAAATATTTAAACCAGAAATACTGCACTTCTTTTAGGGTACTCTTCATGTTTCACATTGTTGGCAGTGGTGGTAAAATAGTAGCTGGATTGCATCTTTTGACATCAGTATCAGCTTGCCCTTGTTCCAGGTTTTCCTTTTGTTCCTTCTTTCCTAGTTGTGGAACAACAGTCAGCCCTGGGATTAGCATGATAAAAGTTTCCTGCTTTCCTTTACAGTAAAAATGTTGGGGAAGGGGGCATTGTATTTCATTATTTACTCATAATTCTATTGATTATATTATTAATTAATGTATATTAATTTCTTCATCAGTTTGTTTTAGTGAGCTCACCAGAAGTTTTCATATCCACAACCAATGGGTAGGTGAGGCAAAGGACAGGCAGTGAGAGCAGTTGCATAAACTGGCATTGCCAGTGCTGGCAGTGACACAGACAGCTCCTCACTGCTGCTGCTCTCTTTCTTGACCTTACACAAACTCTGCATCTTGGTGTAATTCTTTATTTGGTGTCTTACTATGAAGTTGCTCAACATACTGATGATCTCCCAGCCACACCCCTGGAATGGTGTCCAGTAAGTGTAATTCAGTTTAGTGGATTAGCAAAGCCTTCTGCTTGGATGTGGTCAGAAAGAGAAGAGTGAACTGCTGTGGTTTGCATCCTTTGCCTATTCCCGTCTTCTGCTTGGCAGGGAACTCCCTCGGGGGTCAAAATCAAAGTTTGGAGCAACCCCAGAGAGGGCTTTTATGCCCATGTCCCACAGCTTACCTCTGCTCTGTTCCTCCCACAGAAATGCATCGACATCCTCATTGAGAAGGAGTACTTGGAACGTGTAGATGGTGAGAAGGACACCTACAGTTACTTGGCTTAGCATTTTTATTAGCAATTACCTGACTGTGTGACACTCAGCAAGTAGGTATGTGATGGAAAGAATGAAAGCGACAGAACTTCATAGCAGCCACCCTGCTGCCATTTGGACCTCCCTTTTTAATGACTGAGACCAGGACTCCATCAGCCAGTCTCAGATTTACATCAGAACTGCTCAGGATTGATACATTTCAAGTATGTAAATATGGACACCAATGCCATTTAACCTAATTTAAGAACAGAAAGGAATCAGACCCTTCTCATTTAAGGGTTGCATGCTACTGCATTTAAATCAATACATTGGCTATATGATAAACAGCTGCCATCACAGGCAGCACTTATACATGTTGGCAGCACTTGGAGAGCGAGTCTGAATGGACCCATGTGTAATCTGCTATGAAAAACCATTTGTATAGTGTGTTTCATTTTTTAATGTGTGATAAATAATAAAAACAAATTAAAAGATTTCTGTACAAGTTGCATTTGGTTTTATTGTTTTAAGTTTCATGAATTATCTTTCTAAATGTAAATAAAAGGTATAATGGTTATGAAAGCTATTAGGAATTCGTTTTGCTTTTCCTCCCCATTTTCTGGTGCGTTAAGAATATTTTCTTCTCTGAAGATACTGTCATCTATCATTATCTGTGCATGTTATTTCTTTTTGAAGAGGAAATGTCTGCACTTTGAAAATAAATTTGTGATGATTTCACAAGATATGCAGAACAGAAAATACTCAGAATGTATGTGGCAATGCTTGGTCATCTGAAATTGGAACCTGTTTTAACATTGCTCATTGTGCTATGAAGTGCATCCCACTTGCATAAATGCTGCCTAGAATAAAGGAGGTTTAGGCTGCCCATTTCTTTGACTGGAGCAGGAAATTGGGTGTGTTCCTGAAGAACAATTCCCATTAAATGCAACCTGGGATGGGAATTAAAATACTTTCAAGTGTTACTACACATAGCTTGATTGAGCAGGCCTCATTCCATTCTTCTCACAACATTTTATGAAATTAGTATTGGCTTTCCATATGCTACAAGCAAAATGCTGCCATCTCACAGGTCTCACTTTTGGTAATCTATATTTTCTAATCTTGATCGTGGAAAGAACTTAAGGTCTATAGCCATTTTACCCTGTATCAAAACTGATTTTATTTAGTTTATTTTCACAGGAAAAAAAGCCAGTTTTTTTGTTACTAATGTTTCTCTTGACAGAAACTAATGGTTACAGTTTAACTCTGGGTTAAAAACAAAACTTGAGCAGTACTAGAAGGGAGGGGATTTTGTATGTTTGGTATTTCTGTTCTGAAAGAGCTAAAGACTGCCATTAGGGGCAATAGAAGCATCTTGCTGCTCACAGTTGCTTTTGGAAGTTTAGAAGAATGGAGCTGGTGATGTTGCTTAATTATTTTTATTTTTTTCCTAAGATGCTGGTTTGGTTTAGTGAACCCTTCTTGCAGAAAGTTCAGAGCTAATAAATTTCTTTGGCAGGATCTGTGTGCCATGATGACAAAGAAGCAGCCTGAACTCCTTTCTTAGTTGGAAGTCCAGAAATCACCTGCTCTGAGCTACCTTTCGAAGCCCTTGGCTGGTTAAAGCAATGCTTTGTGTACTGTGCATCCTTCAGATCAGGAACTGTGCTCTACCTGAGCAGGGAGAAAATCAGGTTTTTACTTTTGAACTGTTCTTTTCCTTATGAACTCCTAGTTCTTACTTGAGCCACTACCAAGGCGTGGGCAGCTGCCTGCTCTACGTGGGAGTGTGGAAGCAGGAAGAGCTGAATTCAGGCCCAGGCTTGGAGCCCCCTCAGTGCAGCAGGTAAATGGTCACAGTGGATGGGATTTCATGAACTCAGTTTGGCAATAATGCCACCCTGTGCCTGCCTCCTACTCTGGCTGATTTGCCCAGAGCATTGTGTTCTACTTTGCAAGAGGCTGCACAGTTCGTAATCCACTAGCAAGAAATAAATGTGCTAGCACTGTACAGACATCTAGCTGCAATCTAAATGTTTCTGGATGAAATTTACACATTTCTCTTCTGCATCTCTTAACCTTTTAATATATGTGTAGTTACTGTTGTGTTCATCATTCAGTTTGTTGCTTTAGAGAAGCCACAGTAAGGGCACCTTTTACCACAGCTTCACCTTGAAAGTAGCGTTTGTCACAGAAATCACAGCTATTCTGGCAATTGTAGGAGTTTCTGGGCTGCAGCCATTACTCCAGAGAGCAGGGATGTAACTGCATGCTGAGGGAGCTGAGAAGCTGCAAGACTCCGCTTGTCTCACTTAGGCACTGCAGCACCACAATCACCCGACTGACATCTACACTGTTTCCATCTTTACGCTGATAATAAAGGTGACCCGAAGTAACAGGAGAAAAGTGTGGAGCTGCCTTTGCACAGAAGTTACAGTTTCAATTCACATTGCTTTCAAGGGGCTGACACAAAATTTCAACTCGATTCCAATAAAAATGAAGAAGTTCAAGTATCCTTTATTCAAGGTTGAAAAATGTACCACACCACATTATTGCAAAAGTTCATAGGTACAAAACACTTTGCAGCTGGTGAGAAGGCAATAAAAAGTTGTTTTTCTTAAAATTTGTTACTATAAATTACTGTTACAGTACTTTGCAAATACAGAATTTCAAATTGCATCATATTTATTTTTCTAAAATTGCCCACAGTACTAGAAATTCCTGAAGATAAGGCAGCTGTTTGTTTAAAAGAAGAGGTAGCTGGTGTCAAGGGATTTCCATTTCTCTTTCAATGCCCACATACTTAAGGGCATCAGCTTGGCTATATCTGAAATTAAAAAAAAATAACAAAATCACAAAGAAGTAGTGTCATGGAACATTTTAGCTTCATTATCCTGACAGAATGACACCGCAGCCTGGAATACTCAGATTTCCCATCGTTTCTTCAACAGCTGGGGTGTTTCTTCCTTGTGTGAATTTGCAGGTGAATAGCACTGCTGACCCATTCAAGAAACTACTTTCAGAAGTGCTTGATCAAGAGGAGACAAATCATTAAAATTCCATACTTTTTTACCTTGAATCTACCAGTCCTGAAGTTCATTTTCAGGACTGGAAAGCAACTGCATCGCTCCTGGCTGACCTACACAGTATTGCCACTGGACAGCTTGCTTTTTGCCAAGTGAGATGATTGTAGAGGAAATAAGGACACATTCTTAGCAAGTACTTGTTTGTAGTAATTCTGAAATTTCATTCTCTGAAATGCTTGCCTATTTCTGAATGAGGGGGGAGTTAACTTGTACTGATACCTAGGTAACCCAACCACAGAAAGTCTGTCCCCATCTGTCACTACACTTTGCTTTATATGAGCTGCTTTTCCAAGCTTGCAGGCTCTTAACCAGCTGCATTAGTGCAATCAGTCTTGCTATGGCATCTGGCTTAACAAAACCAATGTGGGGAGAGCTGCTTCTCAGCTGCTGAGACCTGAGGCTGCAGGGGCCAGGCATAACTCTGAGCTGCACAGATACTGAAAGCTAATTCCATCTGAAATTCATCTACCCACCTGTAGTCAAAGAACAGTTCTTCACCAGTCTGAATGGCTCTTTTAGCAAATATTCCTATTCTGTGATCGCCATTAACCATCATAACTGTTTTAAAATAAATTAGGTATGTTAGTACAAATACTGAGAAAATGCATGCTAAAGAAATACGTCACAGTATTTCATACATTGATGAAAAGCAAGTAAATGAGAAACTTACCTTTTGCATAGCAGTTGGGATTTACTGAATGGTTTGCAAATCTAATTTTGTTGCCCTTGCGTGTTGCATCAACCACAAAATCTAGGGGGGTGGAAAAAACAACAAATCCCACAAATGATGGATGGGTCACCTACAAACACATTTTTGAGTTTAATACCTAGTGTGCTTGGACCTTAGCAGCTGAAGACAATAACTGCACAGCTTGCCCCATGGAAGAGCTGGCCCACCACTCTACAACAGCTGAACTCTGCTTTTCCTTTACCTCCTGCCACAGTGGCATAGCGGCACCTTAGCTACCCACTGAAGCTTCTCTACCTTTATTCCACAAGGACAAGCTCTGTAAATATGCTAAGTCAACACTGACATAAAGCAGCAGGTTTTTTTTCCTCATTTCAACTATTTTCTAGTATTTTCTACTTGACATAGTGCAGTCTGTATTTTTCTCTTCTAATGGCAGCAGCCACATACCACATATCTGTAGGTGGCTTTTTTTCCCCCAACACAATTCCCATCATAACTTACTGCTGATTTAATTCAGTAAAATTACTTCAGACAACACCTGGCAAACCTTTTACATTCTTTAGTCTACTTAATGTCTGCACATAATTTTACTCCATGAAGTTCTACTCCTCTTGTACAGTTGCTTGTGCAACAGGATCCATCACTACATCTAGCTGATGAACATTTAGAGAAAAAACCCCAAAGACTAACTATCAACAGGATGAATCCACACACTGATAGGGAAAGATGTGTGAAAAAAATGCTCGATGTTACCTGCTGTCTGTAGAAGAACAGGGCTGAACAAAATGCTAAGCATACATACTTTACTTGTACTGCCAAGGGTTGCAATTAGTGCATACATACCATTATTCAAGTTAAACAGAAAGCTGCACATGTATTTGTCGTACACTTTTCCTCTTCTGTCTGCCTCATCCTGAGAAATAATCTGAAAGAAACACCATTTGTAAAAGAGAAAAGAACTCTTTACATTGTGTAACCACAGCAACTTAATGTCAACCCCTCCCAGCCTTTTGAAAGACAGGTGGGAGTTTTTTATTCTCTGATTCAAAGTATTCCCAAACAAAGTGTTGTTTTCAGCAAGCATTCTGCACTTGCCAAACATCCATGCTTTGCTTTTAGCATAAATAAACTCTTTCAGAGCAGAAAAGCAAGAATTGCTTCTCCTCTCAAAATCAGGACTGCATACCAGACTCAGGTTTTATTGCTACAGAATACAGCTTAGCGAAAGCTCCTACTGACTTTCAGTACTATACTAAATAATTTGCCACCAAATTCCAAGCATGTCTGAACTGAAATTCCATCTAAGATAAAAAGGACATTCCAGCCTCTCCTTCTCACAAGAACCTGTTCCAAAATTTTTGTGACATTCCAATTGTGTAGCTCCTGAGGTCTGAGCCTGTGACAGCAGTTGCAGCCTGTGACACTTGGTCAGCCACATGGCTCTGTCTGAACGTGATGCCAGGTTACAGACAATGGCATCCCATGGTCGGTCCCTGTCAATGCATAACTATACCAATTAAGCTCGTATCCAGTCTTCTCCATCTTACCTCACCACAGTATTCAGAGATGAATTCATTCTTCTGTACAGGATCTTTGATAAAAATTCCCCAGCCTGCCACATCTGAAGGTGCCAATAGTAAGTGCTGTGGAATAGAAAAAACAAGAAGTTTTGATATATCTGGCTTAGACTTGACTTCAGGGTTTTTCTTTCATTTTGTTTTGTATCACTTAGTCATATCACTTAGTGAAATGTATAGGTTGGGATTCCAGGAGTGCAGACAAATCCAGAGAGTCTTCTAATGATCAAACACACACTAAAATTACAGCTTGTTGATCAGAAGATGTGTATAAAAGAAAATTGACCAACTGTTTGAAAGTTACTAAAAATTTTCGTTTAATCACCCCAAGACACCATGAAATGAGGAGGTTACATAAAAAATCATTTACTAAAGATTTCAGCCTCAAAAGGTTTGCAGACAGAAGCCCACTACTCATTAGCTCAGTAATCAACTATTCTGTGAGAAGATGGTCCAGAGTAGAAATAAACTTTGGCTTATTGATTTATTTGCCAGAACTGAACAGGCTTTCAAAGCTTTAGTAGACTGTACACAGGTTTATACCTTAGAATCAACAACTGAAGAAAGAAACAGCTTCTAGACTCTGGGATAAACTTCTTTATGCTGATCTGGGGAAAGATTGCTGAGGTCTTTAAAACAGCAGCCTATTTGCAATTAAGAAGCAAAGCCTGATGGGGAAAAGGAGATATTCTGCTGCCGTGCTGCACAGAAAACACTAATTGGTATGTGACAAAATGTAGATAGACTTAACAGCAGCACATGAGCAAGCTAACAAGTGGCAACTTCTTTCCTTACTGTATTGTTTGGTTTTTTGTTTTCCACTTTGACAGCATGAAGGCAAAGAAATTCCATTCTCTGGCTTGAAAATATAAGAACACCTCAAAACCCAGGCAGACACGCAGTTGTATAACCGGACATACTTTTTTGGATCCTCTCTGAATGCTGCAGTTCTTGCAAGAAACATTTTTGCTGTCCCAGTGGTCAGCTGCTCCACAAGTCAGGCAGAGGTCAGGATCACACTCACGGACAGCCAGGTAACAGGGACACTGCTTGGTGTTGCATTGTGCTTTACAGCGACACCCAGGAAAACGATTTTGGCCTACAAAGGAACAGGTGAAAAAGAAAAACAGCAAGTATGAAAAAATACAGTGTAAAATTAAGACTGTGCAGATTATAGCATATCAGAATATTGTAACACAGCCACTGATATCTGCATAGGACATTCAGGAGTATTTGAATAACTCAATTTTAGGTCTGAAGGCGCTTTCTGATTTCATGCGATGGCCAGTTACAAGGGCCAAATTAAACTGAACATGCTCGCACTGATGGACACAATTTGCTGCTCCTGTAACTTGCCTGCAGCATGGACAGACTGGTTGTACAGATGGTGAGAGACAGTGAGAGAAGTTTATAGATAACTTTTAAGTGTTTTAAATGTTTAGAAGTTTATAGATAACTTTTAAGTGTTTTAAATATTTTACTTACATTCTGAGCTGCACTGACAAAACTTCTCACAGAAGTTTTGAGCAATTACACATGGACATGAGCTATCACAAGGCTGACGTGGGTGATCACATGGCTGATAGTTGTAAACGTGATTCGATGACCCATCTGAATAAAAATAGCAACATTTTGTAAAGTTGAAAGTTGCAAACAAACAATATACAGTTCCTCTCAGTCTAAGGCAGAAATTCCCTTTCAATCATTTAACTAAGAAAGCCCAAATATGAACAAAAAACCCAAACCCACAACAAGTGGGGTTAAAAACCCAAAAGACACAAAACCAGAACTGTAACATTAGTGAGGTGTTATGTGGAAAACTGAGAAACGAAACTACAATGGTGTAATTTCCTGTCTGAACATGTTTTGGAATAGCACTGATATTATTCAGCATAGTAAATTTGCTTAAATACTGAAAGCAATTTTTAATGTGGAACAACAGTCAACTTTGAAACAGGTAACACTGGCAATGTAATCCCATTATTATTATTACTATACCACTGTGCTTTCCCAAGTCAATTTTCCAGTACAGACAATGCTGAAGGCTTCTAGGGAAGAAAGGAACTACCAGGGACAAGTCAAGAACATTACCTATACAGTAGCTAGGAGAATTTGGTGCTATATAAATTATATTTGCTATTAATACACCTGAGCTTGTTTTGGGTTTGCATGAATTTGTAAATTTGTAAAAATGCTCAAGTTAATCAGCAACAAAAAATGAGAGAGACAAACTGATCAATTATTTATGTTGCTAGAAGTCCCAACTATTCTCAATAACTTTTGAGAGAACTATTTCTAAATTAAGCTGGCTTACAAAAAAAAAACCAAAAAACTTCTACTGCAGCTCCTATCCTTTATACCATTTTTACCAGTGCTTCAGTGAAGCCATACTGGAAAGATAGTAAACTCAGCCTTCTTTCCTTTTTATGGAATTATACAGAGCTCTTCCAGATATGTAAACCAAAGAGTACCTTTTGTCCCTACAAATATGTGTAAGCGAGAGTTTACATTTTTAATTTTCATTCCCCTAAAATTTCTAGCTCCCCACAGAACATACATAATGGCCTAACATTAAAAAGACAAATAACCAGGCCCCCCCACAAACAACCAAAACAAAAAAAAGCAATAGTAGAATCTTAAAAGTTCAGGACATAAATGGAATGGAAAGATGCTAACCCTTTTTCAGCTGTATCTTTCTGCAATGAGCAGCCCACAACCTGCAAAAACACAAAACAAACAAGAAGGTTGACAGGAACTCCTCCTGCAGTGGGCTGGGAAAGGCAGCTGCACTTGCACCCACACTTGACTTAAGATGGGAAAGTTTCTGGAGACATGAACACCTGCTAACTGCACATGAGTCAGAGGGGCTGCAGCAGAATCACCCTGTCCCAGTCTAGGGCTTGACAAGATCAGAGCTGTGCAGGCTGCTCCTCCCGCTCCCCACACCATTCCTCTAGTCCCAGGATTGCACAGATGAGCAGTCCCCACCCAGCCCAGCACAGAGATGCTTAAATTCAGATGCCCTTGAAGGAAACCCTGCCAAGAGCAGGCTGCTGGAGCTGCTTCTGGCAGGCAGGAGCAGCAGTGAAAGAAGGATACGGAGCTGCAGATCTGGAGGGCCACACCTCCTAAACAGGGGGTCAAAATGGGACAGCTGTTTGCTTCACAGGACTCGGCACCAGCACCACTCTGGTTGTTGCCTACAGATCACAGCCAGGTCCCACCCTTCACCTGAGGAGCTCCAAGTACTTGACAGGAGACAGTGTCTGCCTGGCACAGCCACACTGATGGGACATCAGTATTCCTTCTGGCTGGACACTTGTCCCCAGTTGTCCTGGCTGGTGGTGCTGCACTGAGCCTTTCCCATTCTGCTTCAAAGCCTACACCCCTTTCTCTGACGTCCTTACACTTTTCCTTCAGTGTCCCCTTTCTCAGGTAACTCAGCCAAGCATACCCTTTGCCAGAAGTGGTGCTCTTGTTGTGTGGTGGATTTTATTATTTGTGTTTGTGGCTTTGCTGTGGTTTTTTTTTAAGAGTAACATGCTTTTCGGTTAGCATTCACTATATTTGAAAGTTCTTGCAAGTTACATTTACCCCTTCATTTTGTATCCATTTCAAATTGCAAACTCTTTGGCCAGGGAATGTCAGCTATTCCATAAACAGTGTGTCAGAAACAATCAAGCAAAAACATCTGTCTGGACATTTAGTACCAAAAGAAAAACTAGACTTTTAATTTCAGTAGCCTTAAAGGAGAAATCAATTGTTTTATTTTTTTTCTTCAATTCTATGCATTTTAGTTACCACTTGTATATAGTGAACACACATAACAAAAAAATTAGACTAAGGATTTTCAAAGTTTATACTTCTTGGACTTCCTTAGTACATCACATAACAGCATGAAGACAGTATGGGAGAAGCTTCATTCCCTGGCCAAAAAATACATTGCCAGCTGCATCAACAACCTCATTTTCCCTGCAGATTTACTGAGCTGCCCAAAACACTCATGAGCACAGGTACTAAAAGATCCCCAGCACAAAACACCTACAAAAGCTATTTTGCCTTTCACTGAATGCAACACTCCTCAGAAGTTTGCACTCTGAAAAAAATTCTCCCACTGTAACTACTTAAATAGGACTTTTTCACTGCTACTTCTTTCATAAAAGCATAGCAGCTTTTACTTCAACCAAATGGTGTGCAGCACCCTCCAACAGCTTCAGATAAATAAGATTCTCTATAAAATTGCCCTTCTACAGCCTAACTGTGAGATTTAACTCAGCAACCAATTTTCTAACAAGCACTGAAGGAGCCCATACAAGTTAGAAACCCACAAAAGCAGATTTGTGCAAGTAACTAAGACTAAGAGGAAGGAAGAAGCCCAGCATCACAGAGTACTGTAATAAATAGATGACATTCCTATTAAAAATGATTCACTCTAGAAGAAAAGGCTACCAACATATATTTATGAATTATGAGACACTGACTCTGCAAGAAGACACTTCCCACATGCCTGAAAGGAGTGCAATTTTGACTTAAATTGCTCTAATGCACACCAAACTACTTTCTTTCTTGTCTACCTAGTGTTTGGAAAATGTAACATACCATATTTTTGAACAAGTCTTTCACAGAAACTTGTCTGTCACCCCAAGATAATAAGAACCTACTAGCACAGCAAACCCTTAAAAGCATTCTGTGGCCAGACTTCTTAAAATACTCTTTCATTAGCAATTAGCTTCACTTTTTCTCCTAAGGTAAGCACTATCCTAATACTTTAAATGCACACAAATGTGCATACACATCAACAAAGCATTAATCGTAACAAGTCAAAGCAGAAGGAAAACTACAGGTGGTGGTCATAATGGGAAAGGCATCCATCTGCTCTGCCCCTCTTCTGGAGAGACTAGTGCCACAGGAGGGAGAGGGGGCTGGAGACACACAGTGGCAGCAGAACTGTGGGGAATGACAAGGCAACAGGAATCAGGCTGCCAACACTGACCAACTCGACAGGAGTTTTGACTGGCACAATCCAATAGTACATCACTGCCTTGTAACTTCCAAAAACTGCCACAAAACATGCAAGTTCTTCTGGTTAGTGCACAAAGCTGGAGCCTGAGCAAGCACCATACTAAAGGCAGAGTCATTTTTGTATCTGCCCTATATAAATCTGCCATCTCAAACAGAAGCAAAAGGCAAGACTTGGTCCCATGCAGCAGGAAACAAAGGCAAGGAAAAGATGAAGCTGAGAAAGCAACTTGAAGCTTCATTATAAAAAGCCGACTGGAAACTGCATAGCAAGTTTCCAAGCAAGCTGGTGGATTTGTGCATCTGGTTGCAGGACAGGCAACTTAGAAAACAAGTGTTTCCAGAAGCATCACAATAGCAGTTGTCAAAGATATTGTTCTTCTCTCCTAACGACCTACTAGACTTCTAAACTTTGCCAGTGATTTTAGGCAGCAGCAGTGTCAGCCAACCTGGCACTAAAAACACTCTTTGGAAGAAACTGCTCCAGCATTTCTTGTTTTGCACAAGGATACTCTGCTATCAGAAAGAGCACTAAAAATTCAAAATACATGTAAATTATGTCAGATATGTAGTTGAGTCTTTGCAGTGTTTGATTTTCTGGCATCACTCAAAGACTTCAGTCTCCCAGATCATCTTATCCACAGCCTCCCCACCACTCCAAGACTCAGCCTTCCAACCAGGTAGCACATCTCATCTGTGCAAATGCCTCAGCTGCACCTTTTGCCTGATAACAGTGAGACTTTAAATCCATACAAAAAGGCATCCTGAACTCTTGGCAGAACTACATAAGCTATTCAAACACATGCAGTGAACAGCAGTCCAGCAGAAGGTAGGTACAGGAGGAAAATAAGAAAGGGAGGGGGAAAAATAATATATTTTCAAATAAAATTACTAAGTGGCCTCTGAATAGGGGATGAGGGAGAAGAAGAAAATCAAAATAAAGAAGCAGCTTTAGATGGCCTTAAAACCAGTACCAAAATAGAGGAAGGAGTGCTAATTAGTTAAAGCAAATTCAACTCAGCTCCTAGCAATGGAAGAAAAAAAACACATGAAAGAATGTACAGTACTGAAGTACACTCTCTCTCCAGCATACACTCCTGCTTTTCAGAATTCTTTCTTCATTAAGATTTTTTACTGGCTTCTATGCAAAGTACTCACTTCTCATCAAGGCAGAGTTTTCTCAAAATAACAGGTTAATCTGATACACAGGCCAGGCTCTGACACTGGTTCTCCAAAAAGCAACTATATTAGAAGCTGTCTTCTTCCACTGGTCAGCTTTATTACAGCTATCTTAACAAAAATGACACAGGAAGGAGGGAGACAAGACATTTCATTATCCAAGAGGGGTGCAGTCTTGCCAGCTCAGTACACCCATAGGGCACCAAGATGATATGGGAAATAGGCAAAGTCTTGCAAGAAAAGACTTTATCTGCTCTCAAATCACAAGAAGCCAGCAAAAGCAGCCTTTTGCTGCAGCTTTTCTCTCTGGTGATGCTGCTTTAGCTCAAAGCCACACACACACACATGGAAAACATGCAGACAGCTAAGAGCCCTGCAATAGAAAAGGGCAAAAGGAAAGGAAGGGCCTTCCTAGCTCCAAGACTGGATTTACTCTAAGAGTGAGTAAACTCAACTAAAAGAAAGGTAAGAAACAGAGGAAGATTTCCAGATTGCTGGCTGTGGGAGATCTTCAGAGTGCTCAGATTACAGCAGGATATAGGCAGGCTAAACTGCTTTCCTTTTTAAAAAGGCTACTGCCACAGAAGAACAGAAACAGCTTGATTGACACATATTCTGGGACATTATATTTGTAAAATTATCTCCTTCCTTCAATGAGAGTTTAAAGAAGTAAAGGGCATTTCAAAACTAAATCACTACCAAAAAAGTTTTTATATTGGCAGCTAATAAAAAAAACAAATGAAGTCAAGAAACCCCATGCAATGGAGTGTGCTTTCATTTACTTGGGGGGAAAAAAAAAACAAACCTCCTAAATGAAAAAAAGTCTGAGGAGTCCTCCAAAACAATGTCAGTCTGGTAATCGTACAATCCATTTCAGCAGCAAAAATACGTTTGAGCCTTTTAGCTGCTCTTTTAAATAGATGTAGTGGCACCATTTTTACAGCAATTTGTGTGAATCTGACAGCAAGCTAATTCTCAGCTACATATTCCAAACTTGCACAGTGGCTAATAATCTAAATTTAAACAGCCAAGCCCACCAAATGCCCAAACACTTGAAAACTGTGCCAAGAGCATTAAAATCAATAGCTTTTGCTGAGAACAAAATCTTTTCCAGATGCTCAATCTTTTCCCAGCTCACGTTGCCTGCCTCTACATTTTGCTACAAAGCAAAAATACTCTACTCCAAGTCAACAGGATCTCTGAACCAGTTCAGGAATTTCACTAGGCCTGGAAATAATAAATAGACAAGCTAAGACAGAAGCAAGAAGAATTGATGGGAGGAGAACTGGAAGGATAAACTTGAGGGAAAATAAGGGAAGCTAAAGGAAGAAATAGGAATTTATATGGGGAAAAGTGTACTTATTGCTTGCTAAAGAAACGGTTTTGCTAATTTTCAGTCAGCTTTTAATCTCCTATGTTCTTATCTCTCAGAATAAAAATAATCAGTGTAGAGCTGCATTCTCCAAACCTCAGAAGTCTCAAAGAAAAATGCATTTCACTGACAGACAGTAGCCACCAAGCTTTGCAATTTCAACAGAAATTGTGTCAAATAATCGTTGTGGCTCCAGAAAAGCATAATTCTGTTCTTCACTGCAGCTTCACTTCAAATAACAACTCGTTAACCTGGTTCTTAAGTTGGTGTTCTAGGTGCTAATGCAACTGGGGTGCTACAAAGGGATAGTTTCTCCTACAAAAAAAGGCAATCCTACTTGCTTGCTATCTGAAGCTTGCTAGAATACACCTTATCATTAAAAAAACATAAGCTTTAATTTTAAAATACCATATAATCATTATTCAATCCTATTGAAACACTTCTGAATTTAATGTTTATTGCTGTAAAAAATAATTATACCACACTATCTTGAATGTTGCAACAAGACGCATAGGTGATTTCTAATCTAAACAGAGTTTCGATTACTTGCATCAATACACCTACAGGAACCTGGCTGTTAAAGAGCTTAAAAAGAAAGCAAAGGGAAAGAAAAGAGGAAGGCTATAGTTGCCAATGCAGTAAGATTTTGTCTAAAACTAATACAACTTTTTTTTTTTTAATTGCTGCAACTTTTGGTTTTGGAAGCAAAAGAAGAACTGCACAACTTTTCCTCCAAAACATTTTCTGTTCTGATCCCCTGTATCTCCAATTTATTGTTATGCTAAGGGTATTTAGTAACAGATTTACCTGTGTTTCCTTTTCTTCTTTCTGGGAGGAGTATCAACATCTTCAGCAGGGACTGGTGCAATAATACTAGATTCCTTTACTCTAAACTCATACACCTAACAAGAGATACCATAACACATCCACGATAAATCTCTCACTAGTACAAAGTTGCTCATATTCTAAGTTAGTATGATTTCCTCCAACCAACAACTTACAGATTATATCCAGTCATAGTCTCTTTTCAATATATTTAAAGTTGATTATTTTTGTCATTTAAGAACTGATACTCTAATTTAAACCTCCTGTAAATTTAACTTAAAAACAATTTTAAAACTAACTTTTATGTATTTGTGGTATGAATTCTGGACCATAGCATTCTTGGGAAAACCAAGAAAATTAATTACTTTTCCCTTTTAGTAATCAATACTGGTATTTGTATACTTTAGCTTTAAAAGTAAATCACTATGACTCTTAGCAAGTAGCTTCCCTTCTTACCTGTCTGCACGTTTTGGTCCCAATCAGTCTGGCAATTGCACAAAAGTTGTCATAGTAGGTGCCAATAAGAACTCTAAACATTGAAGCTTCTGCACCACTCCATTCCACGTTCTCTGGAGGCTCAATATTTGGCTTCATTTTTATTGGTGTTTGACACCTAGAATTTGCTTCTATAATAAATATTTGAGAGTAAGACTACATATTAAAATTTACATTACCCTTCACAATTTCAAATCATTAACTGCAGTTAAAAAAAACCCCAGGTTTTTTGTTGCAGTTTCCTAAGTGCCAGAAAAAACAAGCACTTTTCACATGCCTCTTACAGAAGCTAACAGTAGCTACTTAAATTAATGACCTACACATAAACTGAGACAATACAGACATTCTCTTACAGTTTGATTAAATTCATACTATTATTCTGTCTCTTCACTCAGTTCTATGCATTCTAAACACACATTTTCAAGGATTGTACGCCTCAACATGTTTTGGCTTTCTGTTGGTTTTGTTGCACTGGTTTTTTTGTGGTTTTGGTTTTGTTCCATCCTCTCAAGCTCATGGAATAAGCAGCACCGACCAGCCTTACCAGAGGAACTGGATGTTTCGTCTTTCTTTTCTTCTTCCTCCTTATCGTTGTTTTCCCCGCCGGTTTCCGTGCCGGCCTCTCGATCGCTGTCCGTGTCCTTGGACTCCAGAACGTTGATGGTGGGCGTGCTGGGCCTGCTGGTGTTGTTGGGGAGCCGGCCCCTCCGGCGGCCGCCGGGGCGCTTGGGCGGGGTCTTGATGCGCTCCGCCGTCAGGGCGGCCGCAAACTCCTTCGCGCCTTCCTGAACACAAAACATCACCATTTACAGCACACCTGCCGAGGCGTGGTTCCACTTGTGGGAGAACACCTTCTGCTTGCCTCCTGAGTAACTTCCCACTGTTGTTCAAAATTATTGTGTGCACCAAAGTTCCAATTAAAGGCACTCCAAACGTGAACACAAGTACTTTTGATGCTACCATGAAAAAAATCTACACTTACAAAGTATTCATGTCAGTACTTCGGTTCACCTTCTACTTTGGCTGCCAAGTGAAAAATAATTCAGTAGTAAATTTCTATTTCCCCTGATGATAGAAAAAAATTAGAATTTCCCACAGAGAACACCCATAAAAATACAAGAACTTTTCTTGCATACATCACTTATACAATATGTGTTCTGCATTTTTTTAAATGCAAGCATTGGTAACTTGTTTTCTAGTGGAAAGGGGTATGATATAGTGTAGCAAGTTTTCAGATGGGAAAATTGCATAGTTTCTCATACTAAAAAATATAGGAGAATTATGAGAGAGATTTGAAATTATAGCACTCAAGATTTCACCTTATTAATTTCCACCCTATTGCTTCTTAAGAGCACAAGTCCCAGATGGAAGCAACCCTTGGCAAACTAAAAAACCTTTATAATTTTTAGTTGTGATATAATTTACAAGAGAGCAAAGTCTGCAGTTCCTTGACTAGATTGGACAGAATAGCAGCAACACCATTATTAGGTGATAGTAGTATTTCTTCCCTACAAATATCTCAGGCTACATCCACAATATTCCTACTTAAGATGATTGAAAGTTAAACATTTTTTCTCGCAGCAGCTGATGGTAACATACTTGACTGCAAATGACCCACAAGCAGATGTACTATCCTAGATCCAGTATGCCCTTAGTTAAGTATCCTGCTATACTGCAGCCAGCACTCGGTGATTTGTGACATATAAAATTATCTTACCAAATGTTGATAACAGTGAGGTCCACAAGGCTTATTATCTAATGCTGTTTCTGTATTCTTTCGCTTATAAGTATTGGGAGTTGCATGGAATGCTGTTGAATCAAAACATCACATTTTTAAGTTTTCATATAAAAATACATTGAATATGTAACCTCAAACTGTACCCAAAACACAAGGTTACCAAGACTTTACTAAAACAGAATAAAATACTAACAAATGAAATGAATAAATAAATAAATAATAAAATAAACCCCATGTAGTGACATATGACTTACCACTTAAATAAAGAGAAAGCACATAGGTAAGTTTCACATATCATGGAATGGTTTGAATTGGAAGGGACTTAAAAATCAACTCCTCTCTGCCATGGGCAGGGACATCTTCCACTAGACCAGGCTGATTAAACCCCATCTAGCCTGGCCTTGAACATTGTCAGGAATGAGGCAACCACAGCTTCTCTGGGCAACCAGTTCCAATGTCTCATTTCCCTCATAGTGAAGACATCAAACATAATGTTCCTTATATGAAACGTAAACCTATCCTCTTCCACTTGAAAGCCATTATGCCCATTTACACCAACAAAGAAAATCACTACATTTGTTTTATGTATCAAGGAAGATTTCGTACATCTCCATTTCCAACAAAAGAACAGACTTTACTTTGTTGTCATGTTAAACAGAATTACTCAGGGCCTCTCCTATTAATGATCACCTTTTCAATGTGTAAGGTTCAGTTGTTAAATTTCTATCCTGCCAAAAAATCCAACCCCATGCACACTTTAGAAAGGTAATAGGACCCACTTTACATTTTCATCGGTGAGAAGGACACATAAGCATTTTTGCTCTATTAGTTTATCAGCACTCCAGCTAAGCTGACAGGATCTAAGAATTCAGTTCCCAGCTGCAGGGTAAAAACAAGTTAGCATTGCACAGTCACTCTGGATAAGTGAGCCAAGTCTGCACCTTGCAGAGAAGTTCTGGTCCTGTATCTGAGGGACTCTGTACAGCTCTGTGAAAGCTGCAGAGCAGTGACTCAGAAAGGAGCAGAACTGGGTATGTTACACATGCAACACGAGCTCCTTGATAACAGGAGAGCCGAGTTTCCTATCCACTCTCTTTGCCAGAGCCAGCTCTCCTCCTGGGCAATTCCTGTATCCTAGCAGGGTGTTTTCAGGGAAACTGACTTTTCACAGTTTTCTGGAAGTCTTACAGAGACTGTATCCCTCACAGAGCTTTTCTGAAGCCTGGAAAACCTGCCACTAGACTCTCACCAAAATTCCTAATATAATGTGGGAGCATGAATGTATGAGCTTTTTGAGATACTATCATTAGCTTTCTGCAATTGTCTTTTTAAAAACAACTCATCTGTGCTCAAGGAAAAAATACTTTGTTTTTTGAGAGATATCAATAAATACTTTTTCCCCTCTAAATCTGTAAACAGTGGCATACAGAACTGCAAGGAACAAAAATGAAGAATGGACTGAAATTTTAAAAAGAAGAGAGTACCCAGTGCTACCTGTCTGTTTGCTAATGCTCCATGAAGGCCCAGGAAATATGCTCAACTTAAAATGTGCAATTTCCAAACTATGCAGAAGCACTTATGCTGCAGTTTCACTGCAGCTGCAGTTGGGTAACTGTAACTTACAGTGATGTTTATAAGAATTCAGTGAATAGAAAATTGCCAATATGTTCAAAATTAAAGAAGAAATCCCTCCCCTCCTACCCATAATAATCTAAAAGGGCTGTTCCACACCAACACTTCACACATCTCCTTCATTAAGCCATTTCCTATTAATTTTATTTCCAGATCATGCTCAAGACTTCTCTCAATGTCTCTGTGCTTTAAAGACCCAACTTTTTAAATGCACTTCCTTCCCAGTTAAAGCATGTGGGCAGAGCTCATATCTTCCCAGGCAAGGCTTTTAAAAACAAACTTCATTTCAGTGGTCTGGCTTGCAGCATAGCTCTGCAAACACCTGTTTTGGCACCTGTTTTGGGAGGGTTCCATCTTGGAACCTTGGAAACACTTCATGTTTCCCTCTCATAAAGGAGGGTGAGTTGAAAAATGAAATAATAAAGTCTACAATACTGTGCCTGTATTAATGATAGCAGCACATGGGAACCCCCCAGGAGATCAATGTACTCTTCCAAAGCTTTCTTAAAATGGTATTAACAAAGTATAAGCAATAATAAGTAAATATTACATCCCTTTCTACAGACAAATATGCTGTATTTTTAAAGATCTGGAAACATAAAAAAGCTTTCATTTGCTATATAAGGGCATATAGATATATAAAAATTATTTATAAGTATAGGAATGCAATTTATGTATATTGTTGCCATTAGTGCTCTTTCTTCCCTCAGATTCCAGTTAAAAGCTTTCATTGCTACGCCACTTTGCATGTTTCAGATATCCTTCAAGTGCTCATATATTCTGTAAGTAAAATATGTTGCATTTTGTTCCAATAAAAAGGAAACAATGCTATTTAATGCCAAGTTATTCCACCTTTTTCCATCTTTTAAGAAACAATGAAATGATGGAAGTCCTTTACCCAAAAGTGTTGGGGGGGGGCGGGGAGGGGGAAATTCCCATGTTTTTCAACATTGCATCTTCAAATTTGCACAGTATACCATTTCCTTCAAGGCTTTTTTCCACTTAACTGTTTTACCTTCTCTTCATACCACAAGGAAAATAATTTTCAGCAATGCAAAACAACACTAAAAATTTGCAAGCCATGATCTATACCAGCCTGCTGCAATGTACAGAAATCAAAACTATTCTTTTACATGTCACTTGCAGATGCAATTATTTCTCTCACAAATTCATTTGTGCAAGGTTCTAAAATGAGTGTTTAAAAAAAAAACCTTTTCTTTAGAAAATGAAGAAATTAATTTGTAATATAATGAAACAAACCAACATTTGCTATTTTTAAACTCATGAGACCTCAAAAATAGGCTACATCTGATACCTAAAATTAGGATCATCTTGTGTTCAAGTATTTAAAAAACACCCAACATGGTACAGTAAAGACAACTACAGTCAAAACCTACCACCTCTATTGCAAGATATTTTTTGGGGAGGCTTGTTATAAAGAAATGACCCAGGATAAAAATAAAACTATTTGTATAACTGTATTATGAAATTTTAAAATATCAGTAGTAATCTTTTTTCAAAAAAAAAAAATCACAGAAAACTTTGTAAATTTCCTAAACATCTAAAGTCTGTATTTCTTTAATGATTTCCTTAAGAGAAATCATTCTAAAATAGTGTCCCTGAGCATGTTTTCTGTCTCCAAATGTATTATCTGTCTCATCCCCAATGGGCTCAACTCTCATTTTCAATAATGTGAAAGTACACAGGCAACGGTTTAGCCTGAAATGTACATTTGCTTCATAGTCAAGCTATTTGGGAAATTCTCCCTACCTGATATTTTTCCTTCTTCTAAATTCTTTGTTAGTCCAGACATTTAGGCATAATTCCTTGCTGTCAGCAAATGAAGTCGGTACACAAGTTTTTTCAGTTATGTCATCACCTGCACATAAAGGGATCGCCAGGTCGTCAAGGGGACTTGACACGTTGAAAATCTAATGATAACTTTTCCTATATTTAATTCAAATGTTCTAGAACAAAGATTGGAAACTCTACAAAATAACTAATTGTTAACTAATCTTAACAAAAATTAATTAAAAATGGAATCTAAGGGAAGGAAATACAAAAAGCAAAACAAGACCTAATAGAATTCCTGTATTTTTTTTTGAGTTCTCTATGCCTTCTCCAGAGATTTACACCTTTCAAAGCACCAATGTGATCACTGTAGCCCACTACATTAGCAAAGTAATTCATCAAAAATGTCATCATCCCACAGCACTTGACAAGTGCATGAAACAGAATATAGAGGCAACTGTAGAAATGTAATAGAAGTTAAATTGTTAAATTGTTGCAGAGACACTGAAAATTGCTACTGCAGACTTCCAATAACCAAAGCTTTTTCTTTTTTTTTTGATGAGTTACTTATTCCAAGCCATGAGCCGGGTGAATTTTGACCAACAGTCTTAAGATTTCACAGAAAACAAAGAGGCCAAACAACTAACTCTCTCAGTTTTTAACAAAAAAATTCCGTGCTCTAGACAGACACGCAGACAGACACGCAGACAGAAAACAACCCTCTTTCCTTACAGACAAAAAGAAAAGGAAGCAATGCATCCAAAGCAGCGAGCAGTCATTGTTGCAGTGGAATTTGGGTATGTTTTCAGGGAGTGGCAATTGAAGCATCAGTTTACTACATTCAGGATCCAGTGTTGAGCCCACACAGTGAAGGTCAAGAGATCTCTTTGCAGAGATTACATACCAAATACATTATCATCAATGACAATGAATGTGCTGCATAGGCTGTCACAAAGAGCACTGTCATAACCAGCCATTTCACCCTCCATCTGACACAGAGGTAAGTCCTGAATGCTTCCACAGTGGAAGTGCTATGCATCCCTCTTTCTGTCATGGCCCTGAAATCCTGAAGGGGTGATTTACAGTTTGGGCACTTTTAAGTATGAGGCAGTTTAAATAAAGCCTTGGACATACACCACTTTGGAAAGAACACCAGCTTGCTTAAGGGACATATCAAAAGTCACCAGCAACAAGAACTTAGGCAATCTTTTAGTATAAATACATCATCTTTTATCTCAAGATTATGAACACACAGAAAGGAGGCAAAATGCTTTTGGCTTAAAGGATGCTGCTGGTATGAGAACTGAGGTCCTTCAAGTAGTGACATAGCTCTGGACATTCTCATGGACTGAACCTGGCACCCAGGAACATGACAAAAGGTCCAAGACTGTGAATCCTTCATAGCACTTTTATAAAAAGTCTCTCAGAATTTGTGCCTCAAAACTGTGGTCTGGTAAAGTAGCAGGTACCCAACAGGTAGCCAGCAAAATCTTTCAGTTGCACTTCTATCAGTCTGCAAAAATGACCATGAAAGACAAATCTACATACATTAATGAAACAGAGTAGTGAAATATGTGCATTTTAGAGGAGCAACCATCTCCACCGAAAAACTAAAAGTTTAGAAAATCATTGAGAAAAATGCCTAAAATAACTGCAGCAGAAATATCTCCAGTCTTCAGAAGTGCTATTAGAGTAAGCCTGTCCTCACTATGTCCAGACAATGCTTTTTTGTTGACTTAATCAAAATCGGCACCCAATCTCTCTGCTAGACTATTGAGAGTGTCAAGAACTCCTAAAACCCCTGCAAGACAAACAGATTGCCAACAATCAGCATACAGCTTCACTTCCCTGTCCTACAGACTAGGGCTGTACAAAGCACTTCTTGGAATGAGTGTCCAGGCAACTAAGACACCACAAAACCTACAGCTTCACAGAACACATTGTGTTGAAGCTGGCTGGTCAAGGCAACAGCTTACTCCAGAAACTTACTGTGCTTGAACATTATGCAGAAGTAACAGCTTCCTTTTATTTTTTATTTTGCATTTTCTAGCAAGACCTGCCAACAGAATATAAGGAGAAAGTGAAACTAACAGACCTAACTCCAAAATTTCAAGTACTAAAGGAACAAGGAACATGAAAAGCTTCCCCCCTCCCCACCATCTGAGAACAACTCCAATTCCTCCTCAAACTGAAAGGCAATCAAGGGATATGAAAAATCAGCAGCACTGTGCAAAGCCTTCAGTGTGGAGTACAAACACAGGCAGATTGCATGTGTGCTGGATGAGGAGCTGCTGACAAAGCACAAGGATTCCCAAATGAACATGCATGCACACTCACAGTGGAACATGCAAATGAACAGCTAAGTCAAAAGCGAAAATTAATTTGGTATAGAGGGCATCACAGGATACTGGTACAAGTTAAAACCACTTCATATTTGGCTGTTAGTTTCCCCTTTACATTCAACTCGCTGTCCAGAACAATTGTCTGAAGTAGCACTTCAGAATCTCTTCACATTCTGCAAGTGAAAGCCCACATCACTGCTAAGCTCTTGTCAGCTTGTTGGCCCAAAACAATGGGGCAACATGAAAGCAGTTCAGGGGAAAGGACATCACAATTTCTGAAATTCAACTCTCTGAAACAATTCTTCAAATAACCTAGTACAACTAATGTGGCTAGAAAGTGACATAGCAGAATAAAAGAGAAAACTGTTCATAAGTGTTCATTCTCCCTAGTGGAAAATGAAGCAAGTCTGATGAATAACCAGGATTTTTTATGGAAAAATACATCCCATTCTCCATGCACAAACTGAGAAAGTGTAACACAAACAACAGTAGAAGAAAACAACGTTGTTTTCTTGCAGACTATATAAAAAGAGAAGTGATGTTGCAGATTGGTCCAAGTCAGGAATTCTATACCAAGTCCCAAATGCAAAAAGAATAACAAACTACCCACACATTTTTCTGAGGTATAGTTTCCGCTGCAAAATAATGTCAACATGTACAAGCTGTTTTTATAAACTTTAGAGATATTTCTGATTTTTTCTTCTCTTTCCTTCCTTTTGCATTGGATCTTATGGTACTTTCAAGTCTCCTGACTTACAAAAAAAAAAAAAAACCAAGACATTTATGAGAACCCTTTAATTGTACTTACGATGCAAGAAGCAATCATATTTAAAACAGCGTCTACAGAAGAGTGTGTGAAAGGAGTGCAGGCTTTGCTCCCTCTGAACTGATTTAGCATTTGGTCCATCTATGTTTGGTGTGCACTCAGGAGGAAGAGCTCCAGGAAGCTGCTGCTCAGTGAGTTCTTTGTATCTTCAAAGCAAAATAATAGAAGTCATTTACTGAATACAAGTTTGTGTTTTTCTAAATACCAGTGGTTTTTATTCCAGTACCTCTCTGCATTCTCAATGACAACTTAAAAAACACCCTAATATGTGTCAGCTAAAAAGGCCAACCTGTTAGTGGCATGACAAATTATTAATTCCATACTCATTAATACAAATCGACTAGGAAATAATGCATTTGTTTTCAAGACCATCACAACCTCATACATGGTATTTCTAACTCCAAAAACATGATTCTTTTTTTTTAGCAGAAGCTTTTATTTTACCACCTCAAAAATGAAAGATTATTAGACATAAAAGCACCCACTTTTCAATAGTTTAAAGGGAAAGCTATTAAACACTTCTGTATTGTTTGACTTGGGGGAGAGAGCCAAATCCCTTTCAGTGTCACTTGCAGAAATTACACAAATGCCACAGAACTAGCTGCATTCCTAATCAACAACTAATTAATGAAGGATTTATTTTATAGAGGAATCTTTGTTTCATAAAGCAACACAGCAATATACTCTAAGAAATACATTCTTACTTCTCTTTCAATTCTTCTGCTGTACCCTTGTCTGGAAACATTGAGGAAATGGCTTCAAATATCTTGTCAGAAGGAAATCTCCGAGGTGCGTGGGTTTCTTTCTCTGTCAAGGAAGGAAAATAATTTGGAAAACAAAACAAAAAAATATTTCTGCTCCTTTACTACCTCAAGAAAGTGTTCAGAGAAAGGGGGTGTTCGCCAAAATTCTAATGTAAAAAAGAAGTAAAGACTTTTATTCCCAAATCATTTACTATTTTAACTGTGTTAAGTGATTTTCCTGATGAGAAAAATCTACTAGTAAAATTCAGAGAAACCATTATTTCACCAGCAGATGGAGATGGAAATTCAGAATTCTGCCTGCTTTAGAATAATGATACATCATTTTCTGATGAGTACCAAAACATTTATTAGACAGATACCTGACTGATTTTTGGTGCATTTGACTGCCTCAGTATGCCAATGAGCAAAAATTGGCAAAAGTGCCTCTCACAGTGTTCTCAACAAAAATCTTGAACTAAATGACAAAGGAAATGATGAAAATTATGCTACTTTAGACCTGAAAACTATCACATAGGAAGAACAAATTTATTGATTGGTTAAACAAAACATTTTGGGTTTAATTTTTAAAGTCTGCAGATAGACATACCCATCCTGTTACCTTCCCGATCTTTTTGCTTGTCATCTCTTTCATCAGGATTGTCATCTCCATCATCATCATCTTCATCATCACTATATTGACCAAGGGCATTGACCAACTCAACAAATATTTCATCATTGATAAATCCACATTCTGAAATCCAGCAAAATTGGGAAGAAACAAATAAACACAAGGTGTTTATGAGGTATTTTTAATCCTTCTTACACTTTAATTAAACTAGGGCAAATGCTGTCATTTATGAAAAGCAATTTTGTAGTTTTGCCCTCTTAAATAGCAGTGTTATATAAACCAAAACCAGTTAAAAAAGCTCACTATTCATTTCTTAGACTAACAACAGGGAATGGATGAAGAAAAATTCACACATTTTTTTCCCGACTCCCTATGTTACATACATATGTAAATCTCTCTTCCTTGTAAGACAAAAAATACTACCAGCTGCATTATTTAGGAGATTTTACGCCAGAATCCCAGTTCCAACATGGCTGGGTTTAAGCCAGTCTGGAAATGCATGCTAACAGTCTATAAACTAATTATTAGGCAGCTAAGGAGTCTCCAGAGAGATTTTTGGTTGATAGTTCCTTAGCATCCACTTCCCACAATAGACCCCACTGGCTGAGTGATAAAAAAATAATAAAGTTATATACAAAAAATTCAAGAGAAAACTGACAGTTACAATGCTGCATGTATCTATTTATTTGATTTTATTCTACTGTGACATTCAGATGGCAGAACAGATTAAATAATAAGGCATTTCTGCACAAATGAAAAATCAGTTAGAGTGTATTAAAAAAAAAAAAAAATGAGCTGTCTGGGAACTGTAGTGCTTATTACTGTCCTTTTGAACCTGGACTGAGTTTGCATGTCAAAACTGCTTGACAGAAAATAACTTTTATTACTATGTAGACAATGAAAATACCACTCGAATGTTTTAAACAAACTCTTAATATACACACACAGGTTAGTACAAATTGTCTCCCAAAAGTGCAATTACAGAGCTAGTTTAGAATTCTGACTCTTCCATAGGAATGCCTCTGGATTACAGATTCCCAAAGTATTTACATTTAATTACAGCCACACAATACAAGTTATTGGGAGACTAAAAAAGTCTTTCTACTTCTAATATATGTTATATATTATGGAGAACACATAATAATAATAATTGCCATCATAAATTTGTATATCAAGATGATCAAACAGGATTAACTTTAAAGCTAAACTCCTTTAATAATAAATTAAATCAATAATAGAAGACATTTAGTAGTAATGGTATCATCTTGACATAACCAGTTTTCTGACAGGGAAACCAGCAATCAGTAAATGTGTAAAAATATCCAAAGGCCAAAGCCCACAAAACATTCTATGTTTCTTATGAAATGCAAAGGCACCAAGTATACTGAGGACATTAACAAGACTGGTTGGGTTGAGTAGCATTTATTATTGAATCACAGGCTTAACCTTCATAAATGGTACACAAAATCAAAAAATGTGGTTCTTTCTCAGACACATCAACATTAACAGGAATATGATTAAATTTAAGAAGCTATTCTCTGTTTGAGGGAAGGGGTGGAATGTGTGGGTAATATCTCTGAGAAGGGGGAATCACAGCAGTCAAGAGAAACCTCTCCAAGTGAAGTTGAGGCTTGTATAAGCCAGTTCTGAGGGAGCCCAGAGCAAGTGAAAGGTTGCCACTTCACTGAGACTTTAGCAAAGTGAGGGACAGATTACACTGCAGGTAGTCCAGCTCCCACACAGGAGAACAGGTAAACTACACCTCAGAATAAATATATGTAATATTTCTGTATCAACAGAAGGATACAACTTTGCTCTGTAAGCTGATTTACAAAGAGTGGGTTTTTAAATAGCTAGCAAGTTCCTTAAAAAAAGGAAGGGAAGAAAACCCAACAAACCTACAAGAGGTTATTCTGTTGAATCACATTTGCAGATGTCATTATCAGAGTTTTGCATAATCATCCTGCAACTTTCTGCTAGGCAGGACACATACACACATCACAATACCATATTCCAAAGCTCTGAGCACAAAACTGAATACCAAGAATCACTGTATGGTATAAGAAAAAAGTTAATGTGCTTAATTTCTCCACTACTGCTTAAAACTTTGCAGCCTAAAGAAAATGCAGAACAATACATTTAAATAAGGAAGCGTGGTATACCCAATGTTTACACAATGTAGAAGTTGTAGAGATACTACTGTAACAATCACACGCCAAGCCTTAAGCAACAGTACAACAATAATTTATATAGGAAGAAATGATTAGTATACCTGAGTGTTTGGGCTCACCTCTGTCTCCATGCACTTTCCCATCATAGTTCTTGATCAGTTCTTCAATAAAGGTACCATCCTGGTCAAGCACTTCATCTCCCATATATGGAATGTTGTGTAAAACAGTTTCATCCTCTACCTAGGAACAACAGTGATAATCAAAACATTTTAAATTGTGTTGTCAAGTGACCATTTCTGCATTGTTTTTCACTATCTACAGGACTCTGCCTGCAACAGGAAATTAACCAGCTTCACTGCTTTAGCACATTTACCATTAACTAGAAAAACAAAACCCTAAATGACTTTCAACAATTTTTTGCATTCTTGGTGGCTGGCTCAAAATATTAACACTAGCTCCTAAACTTAAGGTTAGTAGAGCAGTTCCACAAAGTTTCTAATATGGAAACTCATTAAATTATCTGGCTTTGGGAGGCTTGCACTTGGTAAATTCATTCATCCCCTCTTGGGGGTTCTCTCTTACAGTAACATAGGAAAGCACAATGGGAACCGCCCTTTCATTGTTTGGCCAGAGATAAGAAAATATGCTACAAAAAGACTCTAAATTAAAGTTGTCTAAAGAGCAAACAGAGAAAAATGCCTGAAAATTTAATCTGAACTCCACCGTCCCTTTTTTTTTTTTTTTTGACAGATTAAATGCATTAATATTCCCATCAATAGAATTTACGGACCTTGATACTCAGCTACATCTTCCAATACTACAGAAGAACCTTCTATTGTTAAAAAAATAAACTTTCCTGCTGATCATGATTCTGTACCCATCCAATATATCCAAACACTGTTGAATTGAAAGCAAGGAGAAAAAGATGTGAAAAAACTGTTTATGTATACTGATAAAAAACCTGTTGTTTAAATAATTTCATAATAATTATTATCAAAATAACTAGTCAGCAAAGGGAGTTATATACAAAATGATGTGACAAAGATTTGCAATAAGCTAAGCTTTTCAAAAAGTCAAATATCTATATCAGAAATCTATTGCTGTGGCTTCTGCAGTGAAGTTAATCTGGAAAAAAAAGGGCATACTCAGATATGAAAATGACCATTATGTGGAGAGTCTATTTCAGGATTTAGTTCCCTTTATTCCACAAGAATATTCTGTTACAGATATGTTGGTTCATTGCCTTACATCAAAGCATTCATATCCCTCAGAAAACATTTCTCAGTACACTAATTAGATACTTTCAAATAAAACTACATTTGTTAACGGCCACAAAAGACAATAGGTCACCTGAATTCAATAAACTTTACAGCAAGATTTTGGAGATACCTAGGTACATTGAGGACAGAGATTCAGTTTGCAAAGTTACCTTTCTATTTATTTTATTTGGGGGAGCTTATTTCTGATTATTACTGCCCTACTACCAATACCAATAAAGTAGGGAGGGTAATTGGCAATAGATTTTGCTGGCATACTTCTAAAATTAACACCTCCCTTTTCTACATACCTTTCTCTTCCCTACAGTTGTTTAAACTTACCATAAAATTCTGTTGAAGGGGAGACCAAGAATACATTATAGGCACAGAAGCAACAGCATTGAGAGTCTTCAGTGGGATGACTTGTTTTGGAAAATCAATGTCACTGGTAACAGAGCACTGAAATAAGAAGTTGAAGTTATACTTACATAGCAACATTGGAAAAAAAACCAAAAATAAATCACAGAACACTCTACAATGTTCAAAATTCAAAGAGTTTCTCAAAAGTAGCCATATCAACCTTTGAAAAATACATCAGTTTTTAAAGGCATAATAGGAAAAAAGTTTTAGCAAGAGAAAAGAACCTCAAGAATTATTTATATGTCAATATATTCGCTAATAGATCATGACAGCATTTTCCACTTATTATTAAGTAGCTGTGATATTAGTACTCAGACTAATCAACCTACAATACAAATTAGATTTGGAATCTCAAAACAGATTTAATACCTGTTGCTTCTGCTACACTGATGTTAGTGCATACACTCAGACCATCTGAGGGGCAAGTGAATCTCCCTGACTTCAGATCAATACACTGCAGAAATCATGTATTATTTATGTTATAAAAATAAAAAAAAAATTACTTTAATGTCAGCAAGACACCTTATATAAATAAAAACTCCACATCTTTTTAATTCCTGCCTTGTTTCTCAATTATTTTCTGTTTATCCTATCCTCAAGCCTTTCATTATGCTCACTGCTTGCAAAGGAAAAACAAAAATTAATTCTTAATATGTAACTCTGGATACATCAATGAATTTTTCAGCTACAGGACTTCTGTTTTGGATATTCAGAGATTTATGTAGCCTTCAAAGGATAAACAATCCATAGAAATACAGACAACTATTAAAGTATTCTTGCATCTAATAATCAACGGTTAACAAACAAATCAACTTTTCTCAAATACTTGGACCACAGTATGAAGAACTCTGGGAAAAAGGTTACAAGCAAAAGCAGACAGGAGCATACAAAGCTAGGGGAAGTACAACAGAGAAGATTTGGAGGTAGGTATAACAAAGTTTAGAACAGCTATCATAGCTACCTGAAAGGAAAAAAGAAAGTGAAGACAAAAGATCTTTCTCCTTTCCAGAAGGGAAAGATGAACAGAGGTTCACATTTCTAAAGAAATACACAAAGTAATGTAACAAACAATATACAGAGACAGTAACCCAGCAGAATGACAGAAGCCAGATTTATTTCTTTTCTTTTTAATCTGCAGCAATGAAATTAGATTTCTGCTGTGTATATTAATATTCTAGACACCATCCTATACTACCACTTCATTCCCATTTCCGGTTAATGTTTAATTTTCTAGCTAGCAGCCACCTAACATATTTTTCATGTATTTTTAAAGAAAAAATACAAAAGTAAAAGAATTAATTACTTTTATCTTTGGAACTAGAAGTCTTGGGCTGACAAATGGGCTATGTCAAAGTGACTCAGTATTTGGTACTAAGCCTCAGTTACGCTGCTCTGTTGTTCTGGTAAGGAACTCAGGTTGATGTCTGGTAGCTCTGCAAAGGGCACGCTATGGTCTCCACTTGATGCTGACTGTCACCAGCAATGCCCTGCACTCTTCACCAGACACAAGAAGACTTTCACACAACCTTTCTATTTCTAGCCAGTGTCTTATCAAACTCTGAAGAAATTCAGCATATTGAGAAAAGAAGATTTTAAAGTAATTTTTTAAAGTCCCCAGCATTTTTTCATCTCGCTTCTCTCACTATAAATTATGGCAACCTCGAATCAAGCATTAGAGTTCTGATTCATGAGACACAGACTGGATTGAATGGAGTAATTAGTGTGCTCTATCAATACAGGCAGGAAATTAACATAAAGAAGAGTGAACACCACGCTTGAAAGAAAAGAAAAAAGAGGAACAATCTTCTACTAACAAAAAAAATGTGAAAATTGGATGTGTAGCTGTGTCAATTATTATCAGTTCTGATCCCACACAATAGCTGTACATAAGTACATGAGTAATTGCATATTCAAGAACATTTACAAGATAACACACAAAGGTCCTCTCCTTCTTGCATTTGAACACATGTGCACACAAATGCACCTTGGTGACACACTCCCACTCTCCAGTTCTCCACTAAAATTAAGGAAAAGAAACTCTGCAAATTTATTTGCAGATAAAGTACTTTGGTTTGCTTTTTTTAACCTATTCACAGTAAAGTCTTTTCATTCTCACCCTACCGAAGAGTTCCCTTTTCAGATTATTACAGATAAGCATCTTCAAACTTAAGTGTGAAAAAGTGCCTAAAGAGCAACTTAAAAATAAGGTAAATTAAGTTGGGATGAATATAGAGAGCTGGAATGGACTTATATCACTGAAGTTACCATGACACAGAACGCAATTCTGAGTAACACGCTCTAGAACACCCCTGCTTGAGCAGGAAAGCTGCACTAGATGACATCCAGTGGTCCCTTTCAACCCTACCAATTATGTGGAAACCATTTTAGGTGCTCAAATTATGCCACAACTCATGAAAGTGTTTTTCACAAATTTAGCATCCAATTGTGAAACACAAGGATTCATTAACCTAACTCCAACCGGAGCAAGAGTAAACTCCCAGCACCACAGAGACAGAACAGTTTTATTAAAGGATGCTAAGGTATGATCCAATTATTATCAGAAATAAAAAAGTTTCACTTTTGTGTGTCATTCAAAGCCAAGTAGCCCGCTACATATTTATTGCTTTGCAGAAGTCATACGATCAAAGTACACAACAAATAAATTCTTTAAGACATTCATACGAAACACATTGGGCTGCCAAGTCATATCATGCAGAAAAAAAAATATAAAGAACAGCCAACTTTCCAGTAATAAAACGAAAACGTGTTAAGAATCTTGTGAGTGGAATTACCACAACACATGTTAACCAACCTCCCTGGTCCCGCGCAATGAGCTCACAGAAGTCATGATGTGAACAGGCTGTATCCTACGTTGTTTCCATTCCTGATTTAAGATTTCAGTTCTTTCCAGAATCTTCTGACGATTAGAATTAAACATACTCTAAAAATTAACCACAACATTATAAATAAATGAAAGGCTCTAAATTCATCTGCTAGCATCTTAGGGCAGTCTAACATTTAACCAGATATAACAACAAAAAAGTGCTCAAAACATACAAATTTAGTTTAAATGTCAGTGAGGTTCAATACAGTTCATTATCTCTTTCTTCAATTCATACCATGTTCTCACATTTAGAGAGTCACACATTTAGCATGGAACCAAATTCTAAATTGAATTTGAAAGAGAATACAGCTAATGAAGTTTCTGTATTAGCTCTCCACACCCTCTTCTGATACTTGACATTCTGGACCAAGTCACATATAAATGTATCATATATGTTTATAAGACCATAGAGTTAAGACAAGTTCCCAGTAGGATGACAAAGTATTCAATGAAATTGTTATAGCAAGTGTGAACTGTAGTACACATACTTCAGAAAATAATCAATACTTGTAAAATTTTATAAGCAATAGAACCAAAAGATAAAGTACCTTTACTTCATCAGCACGTCGGAACCTCTTGAGTTGCCTCAGTCTCATATATTCTGATTTTACACGTTTTCTCCAACAAATTGGTCCCTTCTCAGATTTTTTTCCGGTTTGACCCATGATTATCCTACAAGAGACAATGTCACGTTTGTATTACTAAGTCTGACACCACTGCTTACAGCAGTTAGGATCTTTCATATCCAATTCCTTTAATTTCTTTCAATCACACACTTGCAATACCATCCCAATACAACAGAAAAAAAAAGGAAAACATATTTAAGTGATAGGCACCAGAAAACAGTAATTTTAATAGCAAATCAGTGGACCCTTCACATTTGCACTTCTAATGCCGCTATACAAAAAGGTATCTCATGGAATTTAAAGGGGAACAAATCAAGATTGCCACTGCAAAGATACACACTGGAATCCTTGCAAGTAGACTTGTAAATTAACTTCTGGAGGACTATGTTAATGGCAGACAAACCTCTTCCTCCTTGCAGGAAAGGTCATCTTCACTAAGATACCAACTCCTACAACAGATTTCTGGAATCCTCAGATACAGAGGTACCCCAAGAAGTACTCAGACCCACAACAGGCACTCAAGCATGAAACATTTGTAGAAATTCAGGCAATGAGTTTTGAAACAGCCAGAATAAGAGACTTTGCTCTTTTCTCAAATATTCTATAAGACCACAAACTGCCCACTGATTCCACTTTACTGATCACCCTCCTAGTGCCAAGTGTTTCATTTTTACATTACAGGACTGTTGGCAATGAACTTGTATTTTTATGCTATAATACAAATGCCTTGCCAGAATATGCCAATCTGCTCCTTATTTTTCAAAATCAAGGACCGTATGCTACAGCTATGCTGGCAATGACTATTTTGACAGCATCCTGAAACTAAACCACTACACCAAAGACTGGCTTCTTCTCAAGAGCTGCACTGTAAAGCCTACAATATTTCACTGAATAGCTCAATATATCATTCACATGGACTGAAAGGCTGAAACATCCAGTTGCCCAGGGTTAATACATTCTCAAACAAGCATAATCAGTTTGAGCAGAAACAACTCCAGCACTTCTAATTATCAAGACAGGTCAACATGAACAGAGGTGTCCTCTTTGGCCTCGAACCCAATTGCCCAGTACTACCTTCATGGCCCCACACCACAGTTCCCTTAACAGTCCTAAGTACAGCTTTATCCAAGTTACTGGAAGCTTACTGCTCTATTTTCAGCAGTTCTGTAGAGGTCAGATTTCAGTTCTATCAGACTTGATGATGATGATGAGAGAGAAAAATCAATACAGAACCTGTTTATTCTCAAGACTATGCATTCATTTACAGTGAACAAAAAGGTAGTAAGTCTATAAAAGCCTGAACCCATTTTTATGCAAGACTTAATAAGATTTAAAGTAATATTTTGCAAGAAAAAATGTTGGGGTTTTAGATTTAGGATGAAAAAATAATTGACAAACAAATAGTAGAATTTCCAACACAAATCATTTTCCTCAAACATCCTTTGAGGAAAAAAGACACCGAATACAAATAACTATGTAATGCACCTGACTAGTCAGAAGGTAAGGATAGCGAGTTACCATGGGGAGATAAATCTAGAACAAAGCATCAAACACAGTTACCCTGCTTACATGCACAAGACAGCAAATAAAACCCACCTGTATCTCATTCACCACAACCCTAGCAGTTACCAAAGATAAAAAAAATAAAATTATACTTAAAAAAATAATCCTAGACCATTCATGTTTGAACCAGATAAGATAATCAGTGATTCAAAGCGCACTATGATACTGATTAAAGAGCAACATAAAAGCATTATGGAGTATAGAAAAGACACTATCATATGCTAAACTAGGCAAAGTAAAAATATTGAAAAACAACCCGTTAACTGGAAATAAACTAGACATAGAATAAGTACCATTAAATAACAACCTCAATTTGTAACAGTACAGAACATCAGAATTTCTTCAGCTATGATTCAGCCAAAAGACATGGAAAAGTCAATGAACTCAAAAGATAAATGAAAGCTCAGTTGATCATACTGAAATAATATAGCCCATAAAACTGAAACACAAATTACATTTACTTACTCTAATACTGTCCCAACCACAGCTCTTTTTATTCTAGTTTCCTGGATAATAACAAATTACTCTGGCTTAAAAAAAAAAAAAGCTTTCTTGACTGAAATTAAATTGCCAGATAATCCCTGCTCATCAGAAACAGATCTATAGAGAAATCACATATAATTGGATTAAAAATAACAACAAACAGACAAACCCAACAGAATTTCCATCTTTCTTTTACTTAAGTACAGTTCCAAAAAAACGTGAGAGAAATACAACCCCATTAAAAAAAAAAAAAATCCAATCTATTCATTTTCCCAGTAATGAATATCATTGCTACCTGTTGCATAGACAACTTCATAGTCAAGGCACCAAATAATACACGATAGAAAATTTTAAAATCCACACTGTTGCTTACATCAAGTTAGGGCAAGAAAAAGTTCTCTTACATAAAGCCAAAATGTTACGGGGCAACAGTCAGTGGGATATACATCACACATGAAGTCCAATGTGTATAAACAAATTAGAAACTACATCTTAAATGGTAAGTCCATATTAAGAGAAAAAGCACTTAGTGGAAAGGAAGCATATGCACAGAGAGTATAGAAAAAATGTGTCTAAGGAAAAAAAAGTGTCTTGGATGCATGTTTGCAAAAACTTTTCAGAGACTGTCAAAATTATTATATTACTGGTCTCTGAGCAGCAGAGCCAAGTCAACTGTGTTTATATGTTTTTAGGCAGTCTAACGTAACCAAAGTAGAATTACTGTGTTGCTAACACATGTCCCCAGTCTCAGAAGAAAGCACAGAATAAACCAAGGCAGGGGGCAGGGCAGGAAGACCATATTCACAGAGTTAATCCTCATACTGCAATTGATCTGTCATCTCCACATTAGGACTACAGACAAATGCCATTGATGATTTCTCATGTCAGTTCAAAGGTCATCCCCAAAACTTTAAATTTAAGAAGCTAGACCTGAGAAACGGGGAAAAGAAGTTTCACAGGCAAGGACAGCCAGTGTTGGGGTGCAAAAAACAAGAACTATGAAAGTAGGGTGGTGCTGTACACTACTTCCCATTCCTGAAAGCAAATGTAATTTGGAGAATTAAAAGACTTCAGACAAATATCAACAATCTCTGGGGCAAGACTGCCTAGTGGTCTACGTGCCTAGAACCTGTGTGTAAGACAAACCTCTCTCAAATCACATTCTTGTGCACGTAAACAGTAGGACTGGTGAAAGCACTCTGAACTGTAACAGACTACACAGTTCCCACTTTGCTAGATAGGACAAAAACCTGCATATTTTCCTTAAAGTACATTGTATGGGAGTTACAGCTAGGACTTCAAAGCAAAGAAGCTAGTGAATGTTAAGATCAAATTTGTCAAAACTAGACAACTTTTCATATAAAGTTTCAGAATACTCCCTACAGGAGATGAAGTGGCCAAAGCTAAATCCCATCTGTCTGAGAATAGTTAAGTCTGTCTTAAGACAGCACAGTTTGAAACAGTTTCCATTTAATAAATAAAACATAATACTGATTATCTTAGCACAATGCTCTGATTCTGAGAGCCCTTAGGCCTGTCCCTCTTCTCCGTTCCCATTTCCCCTTCTGAATCCCATCAGTTGTTGGTATTGTTTTAAAAACTTATTCTTTCCCATTTTTTAATCTTTTTTTT